TACCTCGCTCTGAGGCGTTCCATTTAAGGCTTGAAGTGCAAGCGAGAGCGCGGAACGAGCGACAAAGAGGCACAATCGGCCTTCGGCAGCGTTTGACATCTGTCTCTCTCCTACTTGAGTGAGCGGTGCGTCCGCGTGGACAGCTGCTATACAATAATACATTTACATGTTTTCGTAAAATGCAACCATTCCATCAGTATTTTCTTATGACGTTGTCACGTTCAACTATCGTCAGTAAACCGACTTTACAGACAACCGATTTTTTTATTTTATTAAAGGGCTTTGTCGCTATGTGACCACATCGCCCTGTGACAGTACGAATACATCAGTTAACTAACATAGATATCTAACATAGATACAACTCTATTAATTCATACAACATCGGGGCTTCAGCCGACACCGGGTTGGCCAGAACACTATTACAAAGGCCGATATTCATACTTTTCGAGACACCCAAATGTTCCCTGTAAGTTATGTTCCTTACACATTCAAAAATGATGTATTATCAGTCACACCACAGTCCGCTCAGTTGGAAGATGAGACTTTGTCCATAAAAATGCGAAGTTCTTAGAAGCTTTCTATTCAGTTCCACGAATCCACGTTTTCGATCCATGGGTATTTAGGTACTTGCGGCTGTATTGTACGGTGTATGTTTCTTATACAGACAGTTTTATGTTATTACTTGAATACACTTGTTATTGAATTTAATTCAAGGAAGGCAAAAAAATTACAAGGAAAAGCAATGTAATATTATTTAAGTTTTAAATAGAATAACTACTACTAACTATGCTAACATTACATTACCATTTATTTAAAAATAATCAACGTTAATTTTGAAAACATCAACATGGTGTTTAACATTATAAATGAATATTCTACACGTAAGAAGCCTATGTATATAATGAATATATTTTGTCTGTTTATTTCTGTAAGCAAAAAGTTTGTGATATAAATTTTGATATTAATGTTTTTTTTCGTCCAGTTTTATTTCAAGCTTACTTATATGGACCGGGTCCGGACATCCTAATAACAGCACTCCCCGGATCCCTCCTATTACACGCGCAGACCGCGGGGTTTTAGTCGGTCCGATTCCGACACACCACCCCGCCGCCTGGTGGGGTGACGGCCTGAGGGTTAAAAAAAAGGTGTGCACTAAGAAATATTTTTTTTAAGATTCCACCACTATGGGTGCAAAGTCGGGGGTTGAAAATTTGTATGAAACTTCTTTAGTTTTGGTAGTAGGGTTTTCATACTCACAGTAAATACTTTTTATTAAAAGTAATCAAAAACGTTGTTACAAATTTTTCAAAACCACCCTGAAAAAGGGTTGTCCTCTACGATGTCTGATGTGAGACCACGCGGACGAAATCGCGGTCGAGAGTATAATACATATATATATATATATATATATATATATATATATATATATATATATATATATATATATATATATATATATATAAATATATAAATATATATATATATATATATATATATATATATATATATATATATATATATTTAAATATATATATACTATACAACTGCGACTTACCAGAAACTATGTATGATATTAGGTACTGCGTAAAGAAATAAGTTTGAACTACAAAGTTTTCAATACTTTAAGGGATACAAAAGCTTCATGTGTTATAAAAGAGATTATTTGTTTAAATGATTATCTTAATACAAAATTTTATATGGATGAATATTTGTTATTCAAACACGCCTGAACTGCTGAATGAATATGAATAAATATGTATAGTGATCTATCTCTTCCACACAAGACTATGTATAGTCTGGGATAAAATGAATATAGTCTATTTTTCCCGCCAGAAAAAATTATTAACACAATCGAGATCGAAACGAAGCCGTGTGAAAGGCTGGCACACATAAAGGAACTGTATGTGTGCTAGCCTAGGCTTTCACACGGCTTGGCACATCCGGAACATCCGCGTGTGCCGGATGTCGTCTGAATGGTGAATGTACCCGAAGATGGTTCCCGGTACAGGCGCTAGAAAAGGTCCGGATGTCTTAACAATAGCGGGTCCCGAATCTCCCGGGAGGCCCGAGGGGGTTTCTACACGTAAAAAAAAACATAAGGAACTGTGTCGTAGGTAGCCTTCTTATTTTAAACCTGGCACTTAGCCTTCATATAATACATAGCTATTTTTTCCAAGGCCACGCCATTGTTCTGTAACGTTTCTCGATGTTATCGATTTTACGTTGTTATAAATAACCATTAAAGTACGCAGCCAATACGTCAGGTGACGATAAGACAGAGCGGTCTTTATGGGACTACATTAGCGGCTAGAGTTGTATAAAAACTTAATGCTTGATGTCTCGTCATAGTTCAAAACTAGGAGGATTAAAAGTATTAAATTCCTAACAAAAAATGAATACATTGGTACTAACTCATTTCTTCTATTCAACTAGTAAACATCAAAAATAATATTCAAGAGACCAAACATTGTTGATAAAATTAATAATAAAACACGAAATAATAAGTAGGTAACCTATTCTTAAATGGAAACAATATAAATTTAAAGTAGGTACCTACCTAAATATGAAACAAAACATAGATAACCTTATCTCGACAATAAGTATTTAGGTAATGAACGAGAAATGAATAGGTAAGTAAAATGCTAGATTTGAACAACAGCTCAAATGTCAAGGCCTTGACCAGCAAGTGACCATTCTGTGTGATTAAAATCGATACAAGAACATCGTTTTAACCCTAACCGCTTCAGAACAATAATAATACTTATCATATTAAAGATAATACGTTCATTTGTTTATGTTTGAATTACAACGGGTTTTTATCTATTGTTTTTCGTACACTGTTTAAAACATTGCACGAGTTTTATATTATTAAATGACGGAAACGTGCGGTCTTATATAATTGTTTATGTAATATATGTGGAATTAAGTTTTTATCGTGTACAAACCCCCATAGATTAATCGAAGTTGTGTGATGGTTGAACCGACTAAAACTACGTGATGTTTTGATACAACTTGGTCTAATACAAATTGGTTGGTTTTACTCTAGGAAGTATGTCTCTGAGAATCGACTGCACGGTGTTTTAAGCGGTTGCAACGCCGCTTCCTACTGCGCTGAGTGTTATGGGTTCGATCCCACATGGGACACCACTTTGTGTGATCAACAAATTGTTGTTCTGAGTCTAGGTGTTCTTTGTATCCGTTTCATGTATGTTTGTAAAGTCCCCCGCAACACAGGAATATACATTCCTAATGCGGGAGTTGTCTTCAAAACCAAAAAATCCTGGTCGAAATTGGTCGCCTATTAAATAAGGGCATCCATATCAATATGTGCGGTGGGTATTACTAATTTTACATCAGAGGCGTACGTGGAAAATGATGCACCCTTATTTTCTGCTAGGGTACCTCCAAATAGGCAGGTCCAGGCAAGCGCCCATGGAAGTCGAAGATCTTTTCACCTATCGCTTTTAATTGGTACTTCGGTAGTTGTGCTGTATTCTAATTGGAAATATGATTAAATTCTGCGGCAGATATTTATAAAAAACAATTAATCAGTTGATCAGCTTTAATAGATAGACTCATTCAAATTTGTCAACACTGTCACACAAAAATGTGTGTTTAATGGTAGTCGCTGTACTTGGCAAAAAGGTATCAAAAGATTCAGTATAGTTGCGATTTGTATAATCTCATCAGATGAGCTCAACACGCAGTAAGTTAGTTTAGGAATATGGAAACCTTATCTTTAAGCCGTTATAGGTTATATTAGCATGTATTATGACTATTTAAGTGTATTAATGTGTATATATGTATTCTAAGGAGAGGCCTATGTCCAGCAGTGAACTATTAAAAGCTGTTGATGTGATGTATTGCTAACACTGACTGAATATTATTTCGACTACTCTTATTATTTACTTCATATCGAAAGCAAATGCTATTTGCTGAATTTTTTTTTAATATTCTCTTACAGTTTTTCACACCAAAACTACTACCCATGAATTCTGCTGTTTACAGTCGATTTGTCCATTCAAAGGTTGTATGTAAGACAAGTATAGTACATGTACATGTACAGTAATCTGATATATTCTTGTAAAAAAAAATGGTGTACAAACTTTATTCAATTCTATTCTAGTTTAAGACCAAAACTTCAGTAATTTTCATTCCAAAAAACATACGACAAACGTCACAGTTGGGAAAATTGTTTCGTGTTGACTTGTTGCAATATACAGAATTATTATGTCGAAGAAACTTGCTATATATTTATTATTTGTAATAAACAGGAACATGATGATGCTTTACAAGATCATGTTCCTGTTTATTACAAATTTTCTTTGTGGTCAACGTATTGTAAAGTTTTCGCTGGATTATTTTATTCCACCCTTCTTATGATGTGCGTCCGGTGTTATGTGATTAGAGAAGCCTAGAATATTACCGGGCCGTACCTATGTTTATGTTTGATATTTACCTCTTTTTCTTACACATTCTCTAGCCCCATTCTATTCCATATATAATATGCTTGTGAGTTTTTTTATTCATTAACGCCTTGACTGCGCAAGTGATAATCATAAAAGTTTGTAAGCATGTTAGGGGTACAAAAATAACCATGTAATTGGACCTTATCAACGTTATGTACCTACTATTTTCAAGGGAATTACTAGAAGCAAATCCTGTCCAATGTACAAAAAAAGACAGTAGATACGAAATTAAATAATAAAAAGTTAACATATTGTTTATTCTCAGTCACCATACATTTTTGTAACAGTTTCTACTTCTGCCAAATTACAGAGTAGTTTGTTGGCAGTCGTAGCTCCCATAGAATAATATCAATATTTATTAATTTCACATGTTAATTACACGCTCTCTCAAAATTTACCAAATACATACGGGAATGTATATAGCTACTTTCATTCACTCATTCATCTAGTTTATTCACAAGTAATTAAATCTTTTATACAAGACTAGATGAGTATACGTTATCTAAAGCTACCTCATTTTGCTTTTCACAGCTAACATCAGCATTAATTATCTCCGTTGGAACGACAATCTACGCTATCTACCACGATGTGTCGTTCTTCCTCGACGACCACTTCTTCTCCCCGGCTACTTTCGTCATCGTCATAGGAATCATGATGCTGTTCATCAGTTTGTTCGGATGTATCGGTGCCTTGAAGGAGAGCACCTGCTTAGTTAACATTGTGAGTGTAGTAGTTTTATTTCACACTTGTATAAAAGCGATTAATAGAATTATAAATCTGGACGACTGCGATAAAAGTACCTTGAGCAAACCTTGTTTAAGCCAGTAGCAGAAGGAAAATGGCATTAAGATTGTACAACATCCTATGTGATTAAAATTAATTACACCTAGTATCACTCTGCTCGGCTCTTTTCGATATGACATGTGCTACGGGTTTGCTTCTGGTTTGTTTACTGCAACAAGTTTCGATAACATTATGAAGAAGTTTTAATTAGTTTTTTATGAAAGTTTCTTGTCCTTCACTTAAAAATAACTGATTTTTTTTTATCTAAAAATTATGAATATCCTTAAAATACTAAGAGCAAAATTATGCATAAGTCGTTTATCTTCTGTTTAGCTGTAATTGCTTTATCAATTCAACCATTCAATCTGAGTCCACCACGCAAATTTACTAAAACTCAATTTAAGAGCGAGGTGGCCCACTCAAAATTTAAAACAAATGTAAATAATAGTACAATGACATATACATTTAGGTACATATTGTATTCTGAAGCAATTATTGCTTGCCTGATCCTGGTAATTTATAAAATAAACTACATTTACTAAACAAGTCAACGACATCGTTTAGATTATTATGATGTCTTCCGATGTTTATAGTAACTTTTGCAATAAAGTATGATATAATTGAATGTATTATTGAACGTTTTTTTTTCTAGATGAATTAGAACTAGAAACGAACAACTAGAACTAGCGAGAAAAAAAATATCATTTTCAATTTCATTTCCAGTTTGCAGTCATTCTCAGCTTAGTATTTGTCTTGGAGATTGCGGCTGCCATAGCGGCTTACAGTCTTCGCGGCCAGGTTGCCACCATGCTGGACGACAAATTGAGAGTCACGCTGCCTATGTACAAAGAAAACGAAGAGGTCGAAACTGCTTTCGACTTTATTCAAAGCAGAGTGAGTAAATCCTTTTTTTATATAATAGAGTAGTTCCTGTGGTTAAAAGTAAATAATAATAATAATATTTATTTAGATAAAGAGTACAATAATTTATAATAAATGGGTCTCTGATTTATAAATGAAATACAGTTGTTGTTTGTTTGCCTGAACTAGGTTGAACCCGTGTCTCGGGCGAAGAAATGCTTACAAACTATTTTATCAATATAAATCTACATAACAACATAAATAAACAAACAATCTTCAGAAAATTTTATGAAATAAAACTAGTGGGTTAGATGATGTTGCGACCATATGACATCAATTTTTTTTATTCTAATTGAATTGACAATATACCATTTAGGTCGCATTTGAGCTGTGTTACATGAGCACATACACAACTTAAATGCACAAACAATTTAATTTAACCATAGGAAACTACCCATTTTTTCGTTATGACGTAGAAAATTCCTTCGGGTCGGAGTAAAATATATTTTTTAACAATCCTCATAAAATTATTTGTAGTATAAGACTGTAGAAAACTACTTTTTAAGGATTTCGTATTTTTTTGGTTGTTTAGTAAAATACATTTAAAAATAATACATACTAATTCCTATAGAAAGTACCTTTTACATTTAATAAAAAGCAAATGGATGCAATTGACAGTCAACTACTATTTTGCCACAACTTCTTTCAATTAAAATATTTTTTTGAACGAAATGTTGTTCTAAAAATTAGTTTACTTTTAAAAATAGAATCGCTTAATTGTTATTTACCCATAACATCGACATTTATTTAGCTTTTTCTATATTCCTCAATAAATATTTGGAATTTAAAATCCTTGTAGAATGCGTTAATAAACCAACCAGTTGCGAAAATTTAATTCCACAAATAATTTTATACTTCTTCAGTTGAACTGCTGCGGTGTCGACAGTTACATGGACTGGAGCGTCGTAAACTTTAGTAGTGGTATCGCAGTCAGCAATATCACGGTGCCCAACTCCTGCTGCGCTGAGACCCATACCGCGGTCATCGGTGATATTGAGGTTGACGAGTGTATAAAGCTTTATGCCAACGGATGTCTTCCTAGAGTCTTCTACCTGATTTACCAGAGCGCTGGTTTACTCGGTGCTGGAGCTATGACCATTGCCTTCATTCAGGTTTGTGTTTGTACTACAAATGAGAAAACCATATTTACACGCCTTTCTTCTAACGCCGTATTACACCACCGTTTACAAACAAAGATTAATAGATTATAAATCTTTGTCTAAAACTTGTTTTTTTTTTTCAAATATACAGAACTTTACAGAATGGAGTTTTGATATTCTCAGGGTCTTAGAGTACTCGTAAAACTTGTAAATAATGTGAAGTGCGATTATTAGAGAAACTGAATTGAATTTGCAAATTGTTGAATGAAAAATGTCTATTAATTTATTTATATATTAACAACTCTCGGATATTTTCTCACTTTGTACTCACGCAGTACATTTCCTCTTCCCTTCTCGCTACATTTAATAATGCTAGATCAATATCGTGTATTGCCTGCAAAGTGGCATTTATTAACCTTAATTGACCATATTCGATTGCATTGACACATAAGCTTGATTTTTATAGCTGCAAGGGTCAGCACACATACGCAGTTTAGCACATACTCGTATTTAGTAATTGATGTACATTGACTGACCTTTACACGTTCCTATAAACTTTTCTCTTTTTTGGTCTGGTCTAAACAATCAGACAAAACAGTAACGGTTACTATAAGCATGTTCGGCACCCTAAATAAGAATAATACTTAGTGAAGGTAATTATGCAAAATATACTTCTACGCTTTATACAGTTCTAGATTATTCTTCTTTGTCATTTAAATGACGCTACAGTATTGACACATTGTTTGGTGATGCAAAATCGAATTCCCTTTAGCTGTTGATAAGATAATGGACTTCCTTGATTAGAGTACAAATATACTTTTTAAAACAATAAACATTATTTCATTAAACATTTCTGTCATAAATTAAGAATAGAATAGCTGCTCGAGTAGAATACCTTTTCTTAATAATTTGCTATACAATACTTAAACTTTGTTCTTTATTAATACAGAATGCTTTTCAAGATTTTTACCAAAGAAAAACATTATTTCGAGTTTTAATACTATTTATAGGAATATTACCAAGGTCACGAATCATTTCATGCTCAACCGCAACTGTAAAAAGCCTTTATTTCTTAACCAAAGTCTGTTTTTATATGGAAGAGGGGGCAAACAAGCAGACGGGTCACCTGATGGAAAGCGACTGCCGCCCACCATGAACGCCTGCAGTTCAGGAGTCACAAGTGCGTTGCCGGCCTTTGAGGAAGGAGTACACTCTTTTCTTGAAGGTTTGGAGGTCGTGTAGGTTCGGAAATACCGCGACGATATCTTGTTCCACAAGAAAAGCGCACAGTAGTGGAGCTCCAGTAAACCAAGTACAAGGTGGTACTAGGGTGCCCCTGCATAAAGACGAGAACAGTATTCCATATGTACAAAAATATTTTAAACACTAATTTTGTAATGGGAGAGGCCTATGTCCAGCAGTGGACTGCGATAGGCTGATGATGATGATGATGAGTAATTTGACACAGAAATTCAATGTTTTCTTATCGTCGTGAATTTTATTCCTACGAAATATTCACGTTTATTTAATCTAATTCCAGATAATCGGCGTCGTGTTTTCATTCTCTTTGGCCAGCTCTATCCGCAAAGCGAAAACTGAACGCGAACGCCGACGTTGGGAAATCAGGGAACAAATGGTCAATGCCTATACATCACTCAATCCAACCGACGAGAAAAACCCAGCACCCGTTATCTATGTCCCATTCCATGGACAAACAAAAGCTTAAGTCGAACAATCCTCGGTCAAAAAAAGGTTTAAAAATAAGTTTTGAGACCAGTATTAGTGCCTAGCAAATAAACTAGAGTCAATTTCAGATAATAACGAGTTTTAAACCTTTGCAAAATCAATTTTATTCTTAATTATATTAGGAGTTTAAGCATAGAATAAATATTTTTATTGAAAGTATGACCTAAAACATATCTATTAGGGGCTATTCTCCCAAAGCACATAGTGAGGTAAAAAGATTTACTTCACTATCCACAATCGAACGAAGTTTATAACAAATTTCAGAACCTTGAAGTACTTACTAAGTTTAAATAATAGTTAAAAAGGTGTGCTTTATTTCAACTATTGTTTGTAAATAAAAAAATTAAAGCCATAAACAATTACAATACAATCATAAATCTAAAAAAAATACGACGAAATAACCAAGGAGTGTCTTGTATTCATCTTGTTTCGCTCGTGAAACCGAACACAAGAACAGCGCAAGAGTAGCTTGTAGGTAATCACGTGGTGCGCTGCATTTCTCGCTAGTATTATTTTTCTATCTTTTCCAAAACAGATTAACAATTTACACAAAAATTTTAAAAACCAATTCTTCATTTATTTAAATTAATGCAACTAGGTTTTCATGTGTATTAACATATCTTTTTTGGCACAGGATAAATTATATTTAAGTTCTTACATACTTGCACTTACTTAATATTGTGATTTTTATGATAACTGAACATTCCAGTTAAAACTTAAGGTTTCCCCTTTTTATTTATACTTTTAGAAAACTGTTAGAAATTTAATATTTTGTATTATTTATAAAAAAAATATTTTTTGATTTAAGAATAATCTTCGAGTGTAATTGTTAGAACTTATGAATAACTTAATATTTCTTGTCAATATTTAAAAATTAAGTATTATAATGAGTATTGCAAAAAATATTTACATTATTTCCATGGTTTTTTATTTATTGTTTACGCCGTATCCTTAATTCTAAGTATTTTCGTTAACGTCTAGAAAATGCTCATCATCAGCCTATCACAGTTTACTGCTGGACATCGGCCTCTCCCATTGCACGCCACTTATGTTGATTTTCGACTTCTTGCATCCAGCTCCTGCCAGCTATCTTGCGCAAATCGTCAGTCTACCTGGCCTGTGGGCGTCCTACACTACGTTTGCCGAGAATCCACTTAAAAACTCGTTCTTCCCAACGGTTGCTTGCTAATCCGTTGGGCTACGTCAATGACCTTGGTTATCTGCCGGATCATATCATTCTTGATGCGATTCCTTTAGAGGAACGCAGAGCATTGCACGCTGAGCGTCTTTGAGCTTGAGGACCTGTGGTAACGTAAGTGTCTTCGTTCGTATGACATGACGGGTAGGGCGCACTCATTGAAGACTTTCGTCTTTAGGCACTGTGGGATCGACGATGAGAAGACTTGACGCAGCTTCCCAAACCCTGCCCAACCCAGCTGAATTCTTCTACTCACCTTATCCTCCAGTTGTTTCTACCTAACTGCATTGTCTGCCCGAGGTACACATATTTTTGGACAATTTCGAGAACGGCACCGTGTACTTCAATCGGTTCCGGTAGTACATGTTAATTGAACATGACCTTGGTTTAATCCAAGTTCATCAATCATCATTCAGTGGGTTCGATTCCCACCCAGGACAAATATTGTGTGATGAGCACGGTCATTTGTTCTGTGTCTGGGTGTAATTTATCTATAATATGTATGTATTTAGAAATATATAAGTATGTCTATCAGCGGTCTGGTTACCATAGTACAGGCTCTGCCTAGTTTGGGATCAGACGGCCGTGTGTGAGTGTGTAAGATATATTATATTATTATTATTATCAATCGTAGGTCCATGTGTATAGAAGAGTCAGCTAGGTTATTTTGCTGAATCACCTAGCTAACTCTGTTGTAGGTCCTACAGCGTGCCATGCCATGATGACGATGTCGACTGCGAATCGCAAGTGTTTCTTTTCAGTGTAGCGTCTTGAACGTGTCCTTCGTAGAGACATTTCAACATTTGGATGTATCGCCAATAAACTTTTCCACGCTGCAGGGACTTCAGAACAGACCAGATCTCGATCGAGTCAAAGGCCTTCTCACAATGACTTCACACGAATGCTAGATACAGGGGCTTATTATACTCTTCCGTCTTCTGTATAATTTCCCACACTGTGTACTTGCTTGTCTGTTCCGGACAATATTCGAAATAGGTTGACCGATTTTGACGAGACCTTCGCTGTTAACTAAAATATTTATATTCTCCTTTTCATGGCTGTCGTAGTCCTTTTACGTAATAGATTTTAGTCTCACTAAAATAGTGTAAACTAGGAGGAGCCATCGGCCTTTTTTTACTTCATTAGAGGTTAAGCGATTTCTTATTAAAAATTAAGTGACCAAGCCTCCTTCACACAGTCAGTTAAGTTGGAGCCCCCTGCGCCAATTTCATGCTACAAAAAAAGTTATATGTGTAGCCATTTTGCCAGTACTCGTCGATTAAATATCGAAACTTGGAATATAAAGGCCAAAAGCACGGGTCAAGTCTTTAAACTTACTATCATTTAGGCCTTGAATTTTTTTTTGGAACTTACTAGGAACTTCATGCGGAAGTGGGATTTCACGAGGAAAAGTGTATGCTACGAAAAAGTAGTCGCCATCTCTCTCGCTCTGCATTCAAATCTTGCAAAGCGAGAGAAAGTAACAGACGCAAACGCACAGAGATGGAGACATGATGCGTATGATTTTTAGAGAATTTGATGAATAATAAAATGAGACCAGGTTTGCTTCATTTAATTTTTTAGTAAATAAAATAACTAGTTGTAGTTCATTAACAAATCAACTATTTTTTTGTTTAAAGTTTAAAATAAAAATACCTTGACTAGAATTTTTAAATATAATATTTATTTGTCAAATATCAGGTATAGGAACGAAGTGCCTTATGCAATTTGTCAAATAAATATTCCATTTATTTGTCAAAGTCGCTCAGCGTGCAATGTAAAGGGTTCCACTATGCTCTGTGCTAATGCTCTGAGTTCCACTAAAGGATCGCACCAAGAACGAGGTGATCCGGCAGATAACAAAGGTTATTGTATTTTTTTGTATTTATTAGGATCTATTGGTAGATACGGACACATTATCACAAGTAAGTACATCCTAAATATATACCCAAAGTTTAGGGAACATAAAATGAAACACGTCACGTTGCAGTAGATTTGTTTTGTCAAGGTACAATAACAGTTCAGTTTTCAGTTGGTGAGAACCATCTGTAAACTGAATCATCTGATTTTGTTTGTATTTTTAAGTAACATTTTGTGGTAACATTAATATCCTTTCTGTGACCGTAGAATTTTTTAGACTCTCCTTTAAAACAAACAAAGTTGCCAAAATTAGACAGAGATTAGGAGTGAAAAACGTCAGAAAAACTGATGTTTTTCACTCCTAATCTCTGGGCAGTGTTGCTTAGTCAGTGTAAACAAAAACTGTTTAGTATTGATTTCTAAAGCAATAATAGAAAATATTATATAAAACATAGACTTGAAAATAAGGCTGTCATATTGTGCCTGTGTATAATTAGAGTACAGACTAATACTATTATGTGTTAAACATAAAGACATGGGATGTATGTAATACAAAGTTTTTCGTAAAAGTACAGCGATTAACTAGGTATAAAATGGATGTGAAAGATAAGTGATTAGGTTCTGCGATAACCGCTAGGAATGTCGTCATTATTGTGATTTATCGACAAAATAAAGTGTACATAATGCTTATATTAACAAAGCCAGGCTATATTAAGTTTGTTCTCTGGAATATTTTTTTCTGATACCTACATACGTGTAGCTAGTAGATATGAAAATTGGAAGTATGTTGGAAGTGAAAGTTACTTATAAGAATAGATTGGGGATTACAACGAAACGTTCGAAAAAACTCATACCTATAACTCGAACTGGCTGTTGCCATTTATGACGTGGCTTCATTTTGTTGTGCAATAGAAAGACAGTTGATTTTTTTCGGGGACTTCCCGATTGTTATAACTCGGTGTGTTCGTTCGTCACTGCTGTTGAGCCTGGTGTACAGGAGTTACAGTGGTGGGCGTGTTGGAGGGATTAGTCCCAATAAAAAATAGGATTGAAATTGGTTTGCTTGTGAAATTGATGGTGACCGCTTGGCTTTAGTTAAAATACGAATTTATTACAGACATACTGTTAAATGTAACAGAACGCCTTTTTATTTCAAAAGGATTATTTTTTAGAAATTGTGTGGCATTGTAGCTACCCTTAAGATAATAAATGATAATGATGATGATGAATTAGTTTTCACTACAAAGAAAATTTTTTGTTCACAAATAATGAATTAATTAAAATCAGCTGACATTATAATATATGTTCCTTTTTCTTTTATTACGTTCTGAAAAGTCTGATTTTACAACGTGGATTAAAATGGTTAAATACCATCTCTGGTTAATATGTGCATATATTTACACGTAGTATCAAATCAAACATAGTGTAATTCTTGTTTAAATAAATAAATAAAAGCCAGACATTTTATTCACTCAGCTACATTTGGTATTAGTCTCTCTCAGCAGTATTCTTGGTACAAAGAGTTAATACTTTTCTTATTCGAATAAAAAGTTAAAGAGTCAATGTCGATTCTCAAAGAGTAAACAGACCTATCTGGATGTGTACATAAAAATACAAGTGTTTACAAATTTCGTTTATATATATAACATACAAGTCTTGTATGCATTTCGTTCCAGTTCGTCGCAATGCTTTGTCCCGTAGTTTATTTGGGGTCGGCTTTAAGGGCTAATAAAAAGTGCCCTTTCCACCAAATCCTTTATCTCGCAGTTATCTTCATCCTTTCTTTGATCTGTCTTCACAACATTGCATTTTTACTGTGTTAAAATTGATGTTCAGGATAAATTACGAAATGAGATGGTAAAACAACAAGTAATGAAAATTTGAGAAAATTGTTTCCCAATTTCCAAGACTATCTCGTGGAGGACTAGTGTGAACGTGAGTGGAGTCGGCAATACGCCAGAATAGGAGCTCAACGGTTTGCATACAGAATAGGAACTTTTATTTTTGGTTAGGTAACATTAAGGGTAAACGGCGAATAATATTAAAAATGACAATATAAGTAGAAGCAGAACCTTCTACCGCACTTATTTGACGACAGGTGCATGCACCAATTAGCCAGTCAGCCTGTACACTAAAATTTGTCATCTTAGAGGAGATTTTTTGGATAGAACCAAGAGTGGAGTAGTGGGTACCTTTAATTTGGAGTTGCATGATTAATAATCACGAGTTCGTTAAGTTTACCAGGTACAGAAGGTGTACTTTCCTATTTATCTGTCTGTATGAATCTGTATGAATCTTTGAACATGATTTTCACCCACTCTAAAAAGTCGGAAAGAATTGAAACTTCGCACACTTATCAAGGACCGATAACAATAAAATAATTTAAGTTTTTTTCTAAACTACAATTTATTTTAGTGTGAGTCGCTGAAAAGCGTTTTTAATAACTTTTTAAGGGTTCCGTTCTTATAAATACGTAATAAGGCAATATATCTCTTTCATTTACTATAGTTATACTACTAGAAACAAATAATTTTTCGACATAAGTTCGAAATAAGTTTCGGAAATTTACATACAGATTTGTGTAGACAATGAAGCGACATACTTCTCTACACTCGAAGAAATGTGTTGAAAAATAACATTGTCCATACTTATATTATAAATTGAGTAAGTGAGTTTGTTTGTTACGCTTTCACACCTAAACCACTAAACCGATTTTAACAAATTCTTTCACCAATGGAAAGCTACATTATCAGGGAGTAATATAGGCTACTTTTTAGCGCGATAATTGACATACAAGCGGGAGGAGCCGCAGGCAAAAGCTAGTAAGTAATACACAAGGCTAACAAGGGGTCAAGGACTGTAATCGATCTGACTTTAATCGTTGCTATGGCAACCAAAACATAAACAGTGTACTAGTAAAATGCGACGGACATAAAATACGGCAATTTATATAGACAGCCATTAATAGTTCTATTATGAACATGCACATACACGTCTCTTAATAAACTGTTGGTTTGTTACGAAATTAAAAAATATATCCATGTAGAATATATCTTATCGATGCGATTAAACAGGTGAGTGTATTCAACCAATTAAAAATAAAATTGCAACAATCAATCACAAAAGTCTTCGGATATAATAAGATAATACGTGTTTATTTCTAATTATTGTCCTAATTTCCTTCTGAAATTTTTGTGAAGTACAGTCTGAAGTTGGATTCCCGTAATGTCGTTTCAAAACTGAAGTGTGACCGGTGTCTGTAGTATGAAAACCCGTCGTATCACTTGCTCATATATAAAACAATTTGTTATCAGATTGTGGTGGAGTTATCAACGAGATATTCGAGTTATAAGGGCGTCGAGTTTCGAATCGTTAAGTCGTTTGTGTATTTTTAAAAATGGCCGCTGAAGAGAACAAGCAGTCATCTCAGATGAAATTTACGAAGACGGACACGGAATACAATATGAAATCTGTCAGGTTTCTGTTGTTGACCATCACGGCGATGTTTATTGTAAGTATTAAACCTTATTGTTTATGTGGTGTCAGTTCAGCATGGTGGCTACTTAAATGTACACCGACCGTGTCCCTACGGCGTAAATAAATAAATATTTTATTTTATTTAACTCTCACAACAATCCCTCAACTATTTTTCGTTGAGTAAGTACCTGTAACGTGGATTTTTATATATTAGCTATCAAAGTTCTCGTCAGGGGCGCTGTCAATTAATGTATGAAGAGATCGATAACATGGCATAACATGATAATGCTATTAAAACTCAAACAATGTTTTTTTTCTAAAAATAGGTATGCGTGAGGACGAATTTTCTCATATTTTCTGAGCTGTGTTTTAAAGGTTCTAGAATGATTACAATACGAATTATCTGATGTATAGGTACTTATCGATATGTATAGCGATTAACAATAAGTATATGTTTAAACTTACACACAGTTTTAGAAACAGGATTCTTTATGATCTTGTTTTCACTTTCAGTTAAGGTTTTATTCGTCTCCGATGTCTTTTTAGTATTAATTAATGTAGTTCAGCAATAAATATAATATTAGATGAAACGAAATCATTTTTACCTGAAGTAAAAGCGTTTTATCGTAAATATATCCGTATCTAAACACTTGAACAAAGAAATGATGGATTATGGTTTTTGATTGATTACGTCTTTGACGCAGACAACGTTCCTTTGTTTCCTTTGTGAATAATTAAAATAACCTTAATCTTCAACACTATTCATATTACATATATCCGTTGTTTTATGTTACAATGCATATGCAATACAATGATTGTTTTTGCAGTACAATGCAATAACCCATTCTAGTAAGTGTTGACTGTTACACAAACACTTCTTCTGGCGTAGACTGTAGGTTGTATATCTTGACTGTAGGATTTAATTAGAAGTTTGACGTCATCCATATTAATAAACTGACGACGTCTGCGATGGCTAGGTTTCTAAAGAATCCAGCGCTTCAGGAGCAGGAGCGGTCGTGGTAAAAAATTGTGGGGGTAAAATTATAAAAAACAAATTTCTTTATTGTAAAGACAGCTCCCGAACTAGAAATATATTCGGTGTCGCGGGGAAATTTATAGGTATACAATGAAACGGACAGAAAGAGCACCTAGTCTCAGAGCCATAATTTGTGGATCACACATAGTGTTGTCCCATGTGTGGATCGAACTCACAACATTCTAGTGTCCGCTTAAACTACTACGCCATCCGTGCGTCGTAAAATGATAGTCGTTTTGTTGATTCCAAGATATCCTTCCAAACTTGAAGCTCTATAGCCGGATATGTGGCTGACGAAAAACCGATCGAACATTTTGCCGGTGGCCTTATTAGTATATTTTAATTTCGTGTATTTAGGTGAGGGGTCATTACCCCTATGACCCTTCATCACGGACCGGACCCGTAAAAGAAATTTGATACTTATTCTATGTTTACAAGTGAAAACTGCATTAAATTAATTATCGAGGATATCGGTCACCACATGGAAAAATATTTTATAGACTGATTGGGGTTAGAAATGAAATATAATTTTAACAATCCGTTTTATCATTATTTTTAAACTTGACTAACTCGTTAACCGGTGCAGTTATCATACTTTACTAATATCATCGCGATTAAATCTCGATACAGACATTTAATAACTTCACCTAAAGGATTTAGATTACACTACATTTGTACGTACAAATATTATCTATATGTAATCAATTGTATCTTATCTGCATTAAGTTGCTTTATACATAAAAACACTCCATGATCTTTTTAAAAGAGTATTTTGTTATGTATTTTTAATAAATAGATAGACAAAGAAATTTAATTATAATAGAGTCTATCGAACAATGCTATTTCTAAGGTTTCTGTGAGTATACGAGTCTATGCAAGTTAGCACCGAAAGACGTAAACTGTTCAAATCGTCAGTATGCTGAAGTTAAAAGTACCCGTAAAGGGCGTGTAGTAGTATAAAAAATCTAATAAGTGTGGATGAGGTGTGAACTCTAAATTGGAATCGTGGTGATTGAATGGCACCCCGTCGTCCCTATTCACCATGGGCTGGAATAAGAAAAGAAAAGCATTTTTTAAAGATACTGCCAAACAAGGAATGAATATCCAAGGAGAAATAAAAACGCAAACACTTTAGAAAATCTTTTCTCAGATTAATACACACAAAAGAGAGAGTAAGTGGAAATAGTAGGAATCTATCTATGAAAGTAGATGGTTTTGAGAGAGTAAATAAATATCCTAACAATAGATTTGAAAAACAACATTTTACATGGCATGTTATAAGAGAAACACTGGCAGCTCAATAAATTTTTGGAACAATGGAAAATAAAAACCATATTTTCTGGAGAGCATAAAGGAAGAGGAAAATGTTTAGAAAAATAAAGTGACAAAACACACGTTTAATATACGTCATGTTATAACTAACAGCTCCATAATTCGCACTCTATCGGGTTGACCAAAACGATAACACGCCCATATATGGAATAAATACGAATAGTGAGTCACCTCCTTTGATAGACCTTAAAATACCTACAAGATTGTCTCAAATAAAAATGTGCAAGGGTGGTCACAAAAACTATCACGATTGTAGGTAGTTAGGTAAAAATACTATTTGCCTAATTTAACTATATTTTACCTTTTTAGCAGTATCTCGGGTTCTCATTATATTTAAAATATTGTATAAAAGTTAAATAAATTATATAAAACAGGTTAAAATTATACATGGAGAATATTTTATTTAGTTTTTTTGATTTCGTGATTTCAGTTAGTGAAAATATTGGGAAAAGATTTTGTTTAACTTAAATTCTTACAACCGTGCCCAATGTGTCCAAGAGCGGCGATAGTAACTTAACACCAGGTGACCCGTCAGTTCGTTTACCTCCTTGCAGCCATGGCACAAAAAATATTAGTAGATGTCTGCTATAAAATTCACTATCACTTAAAAGACCTTACTTTCAAGTTTCAGCTACTAATAACAAGGAAATAAATATTATCAATCTGTTATCATTACTTGAAATACTTGTCATCAGACCAAACAAAGATAAACCAGTATTGGTCAAAGCACTTACTTTTACAATTCTTCGAGAGTTAAATCATTATTTAAATTTGTTGTAACTTTTACTATTGACATACACCAAAGGTTAAGTTTGCCAAAACTATTTTGTCACTTTAGTAATGTCACTCGCCATGCAATACTTACATAATTTGTTTATATTTGAAGCACTGACAACTCCACCTTAGGAATAACTCCTAATTTGCCGGCGCAAGTATGACTTATATTTTATGATTGTTAATCCCGTCCCATAGAAAATTATAATGACGATAATCTACGACTACGTCATGTTAATTGAACAAGCAATTTAGATTAGATATTGACTTAATACATCCAGAAAAGTAAGGGAGATAAAACGCTACCAACATTGCCATCGCCACCGCTTAAAGCAAGTCAACCGTTATCTGCCAATGAAATACTGTACATTAGCCTAAATTGCTAACTTCGAAACTAGTCAAAAGCCAAAGAAAATATATTTACACAATTTCAATCAATTAGCCTATACCATTCGACAAATTGTTGCGACATAGTGCACGGTTCCCAGACTGGGGGCGTCTTACCGGCGGCCCCCACTCTAGGTGCTTCCTGCTTCAACAGCCGTCGCAATTTCGCAGTTATGATCAGCCTAAGCCAGACCAAACTTCTGCATGCTTAGTAAAGCTTGTTCCAGAGCAGGCTAATTTAAATTGTAGACTAGCCCTACTGTTAGTGTTCGCCTCGCACGCCTCAGCACCTTTGGTCATAATAGGTAAGATGCTCGATTGACTCTTTATGTCGTTAAAAAAAAAAACACTGTCACGCTGGATGTACAGTCTTCTATTTCGTTTTGAGGCTTTGCGGTATGATCGATGAAAAATCTTGATGAAGTTTGTCAAATAATTACCAACTTAGATAGTTTAACAACCTCTAAATGAACACAGTCTAATAAACAAAGATCTATATCAAGTAGGTACTTATTTAGTTCTGACTCCCTAAAACACTTAGCGTTTAACTTCCTTATCATTACATTTCATAAAAGCACTTGTGATAAGGAAAGCGCGTCCATAAACAGTTTATGGAACAAAGTAACGATATAATCAAATGCGTTTTAGATTCAAAGCAGTGATATAACCAGGCGTGTATAATTGAAAAAAGCACTCTTCATACAAATGGATTTAAATACAATTTATACTTTTTTCAAAACTTTGAATGAAAATATGCATAATCACATGTTGTCGATAGCAAAGCACAAAAACTGACGCTTAAAATAATTGCCATCCAGCATCTAGCCCAAACCATATCAATTACCCGATCAGTGGCGGCCGAATCATAAGAGTCTTAGTATATATTTCTGTCTTGATGAGAGTATACTAATATCATTTAGGTTTTTGCATATACATAGGTGTTCAGTAACTAAATATTGTTTCGGCGATTGAATGTGCACTGATACTGTCTCACATATAATTTAATGATAACAAAATGTTGGTAGTTGTTTTTTTAGAGATATTAGGTATTAAAAATTACGTCTTAATTTTAATTTTCGATCCAAGAGTCATTTACCGCACGCCAGTGGTCGTCAGCGTGTAACAATATTCATGTTTTGACGTAAGCTTAAATTTATAGCGTTAAAAAGTATTTTACGGTTTAAGATCCTTCTTAATCTATTAGGAAGAAAGTATTAAGCTCGAGTTATGTTTACAGGCAATTGGTCTATTGATGATCATACTCGGAAACAGCGTGTACGCTCACTACCATAGCTTCACATTCTTCTACGAGCATAGAGTGGGCAGTTACGTTACACCTTCAGCACTTTGCGTGTTCGTGGGACTGGCGTTATTAATTGTCTCCGTGTTTGGTTTCTTCGGAAGTCTGAAGAGGAGCACCTGTTTGGTCAATATTGTAAGTAAATTGCTCTTAATTCTTTGATGCCAATCTTAATAAACCCACACTAACTTATTTATTTGAAATCACATAACATTGTTCCTTTTTATAGTTAACATGTCTATAGAAACGAGGGAGACAAATATTTTTTAATTATAAGTAAAGAAATCGTCCTTGTGTTGAAATACGGAAAACAAAAATGGCAAGTGAATTCTTTCTTTGTGGGGAGCCATATCTTTTCGCATGAATAGTCCAAGGGTCCATCTTAACGAGAGAATGACGTAGTAAGTATATAAAATACCACACGATATCTCCGGTGAAAGTCTCTTAGGGATACTGGACAATTTAAGGATAAAAAATAATTTACCAACTAGCTGCCCTGATCAGACATGGTCATGGCTCTCAGACTTCGTTCCGGATACATCCCACTAAATAGTTTTGCACATTTAATAGGTAAGTTCCATTCCTCCAACTGCATCATTATGTAGCAAAGTAGAAGATGTACACCATATTTTGATGGAGTATCTTTGGAACGAAGCTGAAGGGAAAAACAATTATTTTATTAGCATTCTCGTTCTCCCCTTTTCGGAGAAAGCGAGAACGCTGTACAATATAGCTAAAACTTGTATGCTAAATAGATCCTAAATAATATTTTTCTATGAGGGTGCCATAATCACTTCGTGATTAAACCCTCGTTAAATAAATAAAGAGTAAAAACAGTAAAAAAAAAACTAGCTGTCCTGTCTAGCAAATCCAGCACCATCGTTTCGATTAACCTTAGAAGAAATGTCTAAATATTGAAAATGTTTGCCCCTTTTTTTTCAGTATGCTGTGATCCTGACTTTGGTTTTCATCTTTAAACTAGTAATCGTATGTATGGCATTCACAATGGACGCGGAAACACTGATTAATAGCTTTGATATTCCTGTCTGGAATTTCGAGGATCCCGAAGTACAGGCTGAGGTGGATTATTTACAGAGCAGTGTAAGTATTTAAATATTAATTAGATACCTTGTTTTACCCCTTGATAAAGATCCCTGTCAACGTATTATAAATGGTCGATATAAGCTTTGTAAATTACACCCATGAGTAAAACCACGGTACAATTATAATACAGTACTGTAACTCGGCCGCATGATAGAAATAAATGCCTACAGCCGCGCGGTACGTAAACATGCGTTAGGGCTGCCCGTCTCCAGCATTTTAATTATATTTGCCTACTTTCTGTTTCTATTTAGATTTGTGATGGTAAATATCCTTTTTATATAAATAAATGTAATACTTTGTATATTGAATAGGAAGTGTTCAATAAAAATGCGTGTTGTTTTTTGATTCACTCCCTATAGATTTTGATACACTACCTATTTCACTCGTCTCAATAACTTTCCGATACTCTATTCGCTTTATTTATTAATCTAAACACCTTTTTTTTCGTGAGATAAAAGGAAATACTTATCCATTAAAAAGACACACATTATGTACCTACCTACTAGTAAGTAAAATTATTTTATAGTCTTACCTTTCAGAGTTTCCAGGTAATTTAAAAACACTTATGTCTGGATGCGTTATTGACGAATTCATACAACCAAAAACAGCACAATATTTCCTACTCGTCATATTAACTGATTTTTAGAGAAAAAATCGCGCGGTTATTGTTAAAAAAAACAACACACCGTCCGTTCGACACTGCGGTACAGTCGTGACTGTCTGCGCCCCGAGCGCACCCCGAGATCGAGGCGCGTAGGTATAGCTCGCGTTTCGTCCGTTTGTATGAAGTTGGAGTACTGTATTATAATAGTACCGTGGTAAAACCGTCTATCTGCACAAATATTATAAAAGCAAAAGCAACTTTGTTCTTTACCTTCTAGGCTAGAGGTTATGGGGACCCTAGAAAAGAACTTAAGCTACTTTTTATCTTTAGGATAAAATATAGATAACAGGAGATGAAACTTTGGTTCGGCTAGATTCTAATAAACATGATTATTAGTGTCTTTTAATTGGACGGATGACACAGTATTTTATGTAGTCAACTCTAATATTGCCATTGAGATCAGTACTAAATTGTAAATCATGATCATGCTAAACTATGATGCTGTTCTGAAGTTCAATTTGATATCACTGTAAACTAGCATGATTTTTCTTTTGTGTTACTAGCTCGGATGCTGCGGAAGCAACGATTACACCGATTACATTGGTGCAGATTTCCCGAGCAATAGGTCGACCGTGGTGGCGTCCAAATTGGTAAATGGCGATTTAATCTCCATAATCCTACCGGCCAGTTGCTGCTTAAACCAAAACGAGCAGTTCTGTTCACGCATGTGGTCTACAGGATGCAAACGAGCGTTGGCTAACGTGATGGTACAGAATGCCATTGTCATCGGAGTCCTTGGAGTGTCGGTGATGTTCATTAACGTAAGTTTTTTTTAATGTCCAGGTAGTAAACGTTAAATGATTTTGTGGTGATTCTTGTGTTAGAAATACATTCTACTAATACGGGATAAATTTTGAAAGAGCAGTTAGTATTTAAAAACCGGCAGCTAGCGACAGAAGCTCAACACCGATTTTCTTACTCATGCCTCGTTTGTGCGTGTGTGTTATCCCAGTTTTTTATTTTTGTACAGACGAAGTACTAATGATATCTTTGATCAAGGGTCAATGTGATATTTTAATAAATGTATTTGGTAGTAGTTGCTCTGTTTCAGCGTAGGTATAATATTTCTAGTAGCCATGACGTCCATGTTACTTATAATTTATATTTATTAAGATAAAAGGTCTGGAAAAAAAGGCATTAATTTTATTGTATAGATATGAAAAAAAAATAAGATTTCAGATGGGGTTGCTTTATATATAAGTATCTTATCGATGTCAAAAAAATTATGTTTACGACGTGTCGTTGTTATAATTAAGGGGTTTATTGTCTCCTAATCAGTCATAGTACGGCATACTTACAAAAAATTCAGTTTCTACATACCTACGAGGCCGAGATGACCTACTTCTGTTTATTTGTGTATACTCATATATCTTAGTGATATCAGGTATGTTCTAATGACCTTGTTTCGGTTATTAAATACATGTTTATTCCGAACATACCTACATGACTAATACAGTCTTTTGTTTGTTAAAAGCTTATTAAAAAGTAAAAACAAACAAGATATCATAAGATATGTTTGTGTTAATTGAATGCAACTACGTAATTAAACAAACAAAACGCATGTATAGATGAATCCTTTTTAAATAAAAATTTGAACCGACTTCAAACAATACTAACAAAGACCACTAGACACCTAGCAGCAATCGCGGTTGATTTGCTGTCATTTTTGAAGAGTTCCGATGTCTGTCTCCGAAACTTATCATCAGATCTATAAGAAAATTTAAATGGGACCATTTCGAAAAAAATATATTTGGCAAATCTGTCTATGTATGACGGAGTTATGCCCGAACATAAATAAAAAAAAACATATAAACATCCCAATTGATAACCTCCTCCTTTTTGAAGTTGGTTACCAAAGGGCCTAACCTATTTGTCACTCAACTAAAATACGTCATAACGTAATTCACAGAACACTACATATTCATTTAAGCATAGTTGACAATAGGTAATTATTTTTGACACGGCACTCAAGCACAAACTGTACCATACCTAGATAGCGAATACCTACTGACTAACTAAAATCGAGGTTTGGACTCTTGTTTTTTTGTAGTATAGGGAACAAACAAGAAGACGGGTCACCTGATGGTAAGTGACTACCACCGCCCATTGTCTCCTGCGATTTAAGACTGACAAGTTTTGACTGGCTGAGGTATCTGCTGAGGTATTCCCGGGTCGGACTAAATGATTGTGTGATCTGCAAATATTTGTTTAAGAGTTTTGGTGTTCTGTGTATAATAATGTAGGTGTAAATTTACAAAAAAGTTTATAAGTATTCTATTAGTCAATCTAGCTTTCACAGTACAAGCTCTGCTTAGTTCGAAACTAGATGGCGTTGTGTGTCAGATGTTCGTAAAAAAAAGTGCTTTGCCGCCCTTTGAGTGCCTAATTAAGAAGGGAAGGGTGTGACACTCAACGATATCAAATGTGTTTGTGACATTTTGATCAGCCCGCAATCATTTCAGAATATATTGACTAGTTCATGGCATCAAGAGCCCTGGGCCTCGATTGTATTATTTTATGTTAATCATGGTGATGGTGATATTAACCATATCATGTTATATCTGGCGAATTAAATATATAATTGCCTTACAAATTAAAAATGTAGAGTTTACCAAACTATTACAAAAACATCGACGACATTTGTATCAGTGCTTTTACATAGTTAGTAGAATACGAAAAGTGCAAAACTATTCCACATTCCATCGACAGTCTATTGCTACAATATTAAAATGGGGCGATAGGGCGTATTTTTTTTTAAATGCAATACGGTCTTGACATACAGTGGTTGATATTTAACGCTCAAACTTAAATCACACATTTATTTTTCAGTTACTGGGAATTATATTTGCTCTGCTCCTAGCCCGTAGCATCCGAAAGATGAAGAGCGAGAAGGCAATGATGGTGTGGAAGATCAAGGAACAAATGATCATGGCTCGCCAGGCTGAGGAAGAGCAAAAGAAGGAACAGCCTGACCACGTATATATTACGCCCCCAGCTACTAGCTTAGCTTAAATGACATTGCATTTTTTTTCATGAAAATATTATATTATCTATCATGCAGATATAATAAACTAAGAAGTATTAGATAAAAAGGTCAAAGCTATAAAGTGAGACCGTAATATTTGACTAGAAAATAAGTGTAAGAAACTAAAGCTAAATCAAACATAATTCAGCAATCAAATGTGGGCGTTTCAGTAAATATATTTACTTTACGTTATAACAAAATAATGAGCACCTAATCATGTGATATCCTTGATGACTTTTATTTAGGTACAGGAAGATCAATATATCTACAAATATATGTATTTATGGTTTATATATTTTTACTGTAAATATTTGTAAATAAAATATTAACTAAATATTTTTTGTTTTATTTCATGTTAGAAAAAAAATTCATTACAAATCTAAGATTATGGAAACACAGGTGTGCTATATCTTGCAATTATGCTTTTAAGATAAGCTATTGTTTGTTTTTTGAACAGCAGCACGTTGCCATCCTTCACAGGCCATCAGTTAAAAAAAAATGTATAGGAATTCTTAAAGGTAAACTGATGACTAATAAGACCATGTTTCCAATAAGATGACAGTTGACTGTCAAGTCATATCAGTACCTTTTTACTAAAAGTAAAAACAGTAGCTTTGTTACAATTTTGTTTGACGTCACGCCTTAGTGTCGCTACATTGCAAACCGCCAATACAATTCTAAGGTCACGGGTTCGATTCCCGGGTCGGACCAAATATTTGTATGCTCTACAAATATTTAAAGAAGATCCAACATTCTGTGTTGGTAACCAGTTTGAAAATAGCAATATTTCTCTTTATTGGAATCCAGGTTTCGATAAAAGAGAAATAATTCTGTTTTGGCATCTGGTTTCCAAACATTCGTTTTTAATATGGCCGGAGGAAAAGACGCACACAATAAATATTTAACATACAGTAATAAATTAATTTTTATTGCATACCAATACATTAACATTTATTTTGTAGCCGCTTTTCTTCTCAGGCGGACTACTCACCGGCTGACCCAGTGGAGAGATCTATGAGATTACCTCAGGGCGCCTTCTAAGAGAAAAGAAGTGTGTGCGTGTGGGAAACCTACGGGACTCTTTAGAGGAAAACAACTTACACCTCAGTCATACATACATGTATATTTCAAAACAAAATTAAATTTACAATAAAAAAAAAATCAGAGGGTATAAAAAAAAAACCGCAGCGGAGCGCGTCAGAGCCGAGCTGATGGTGCTCGGTGCCTCCTCGTCGTCCCTCCAGGAGGTTACTTCCTCTTCCGCCCGAGTCAGCTATTTATATTGGATATGGATAAAAGTTTAACAAATTTGTAATTATAAGTTTAAGTACGTAACTCTTGGGTACGGCTGTCCGCTTGCGTCGTGAGCCGCGCAATCACCAGCCTTGCCAGAGGGTACCAAGAAACTTGAGTCTGTACCAGAAGGCCACAAAAGAGCAAGCACGCCGTCTAAGACTGACTGTCTTGACCCCGAAATCTGGGACCCTACGAATGGATTAGCACTCATATAAATTAAACAGGTTCCAGAAACAAATAGGTTTAAGAAGAATTGAGAGAATACTCACCACATTAGTGGGTAGATTATAACAGACTACATATTACGAAATTCAAATTACACGACAATCAAAACACTATTTAAGGTTGGAAGACACGAGATAGCAGAGTGTCTCCCGTGGCAGAAAGCCGGACCTATATATCCTCGGTTCAGGAATCTTCCAGAAGTTAACCCCTCCTCATCATTTCACTTTGACATTTACATTGAGAAAGAAAACAACGCTAACAAAATCAAAAGTAAATTGCTTTCCACCATAGCTGAACACTCCCAATACCTATGCAATTTGACATGACAGAATAACAAAACAGATTAAAAAAGGAAGTCTTTTTATCAATCTATTATGTCTCAAACCAACGCCATCTAGTGGTCCGAAAGTGAACAAAGGAGATCAATACCGTAGCTACAAACTACTTTAGATAAATCAACAACAAAGCGATGCGGCCAACAGGTGTCGCTTTACTAATATACCAAAAAAATAACTGTTACAATTTTACAATTGATGAGCATGGTCGTTTGTTGTGTCTGGGTGCAATTTATCTATAATATGTATGGGTTTAGAAATATTTAAATATTCAACAGATTGGTTACCATAATTTTATTTTGTGTATACAAACCAGTCTGAAGTAATTTACATTATCCATCTATTAGAGCTTTCACACATGAACTCCTGTAACTAACATAGTCGAGCGACTGCCTGAAACACAAGTCTCATACCTAGCTCAGGCCGTTTGCAAAATAATTTTTAATATTTTGTTTTTATCTCATTATATTCAATCTTGCACATTTTAGAATAGTCATATACTAGTTTTATGTTAGCTTTAGTAGCAAACTTTATATAAGAATCTAATGACAATAAGATGGAAATCATATACAAATGTAACCTAGACTATTCTGATTCTGCAAATAATTTTGTTTTTATTTTTTTATAACACAAGCTCTGCCTAGCTTGGGACCGGACTGCCATGTGTGATATGTGTCAAGTTATTATTTACATGATACCTTTGATGTAAAAATGTATGGTACAGTAAATTAATTAAGTAATTACTTCAACGGAATGGCAAAAGAAATCTTGTGTCCCTTCAAAAGGCAAATCAAGTTTAAATATTTAATTAACAACAAATAAATTAACATTCTACTTTCCGAAGCCTTTCCTTATGGTTCCAAAATATTTTAGCCTCACTCCTAATGATATCACCAATTTCTTGATGCTTGCCATTAGGTAAAAAAGGGGGTGTGAACTCTCTGTAAGCTATGCACACTCTTCGTGATAAGATGTCTTCACGGAGGACACAATGCTCCCAGTGGTAACGGGCCTCTCCATAAAGTACTAATAATGACCTCCTGAAAATAGTTTAATAGGTTTTAGATGAGTTGGTTATTACAGCAGTTGTATAATAAGGTGGATAATAAATACCATGTAGTATAGTATGTTGCATGATTATTATTTGTTTGTATTCAGTAGTGAGTTTTGTAGTCACAAGAGATTTTTTTATTAGCCAGCCCTCATGTAAATTTTTATATTAAATAAGTAAGTAAGTTACTTATCACATTTTAATCTATTTACTTATTGCAAATAAAATGAAGCTTACAATATACATCGTCTTGAAAATATCTATGTTAATATACATAACTCATTACAGGACATAGTAATCAATCAATCAATCAATCAATCATAGCTAAGGCCTAAACTATTGGCCTCTCGAATCACAGCACATACATGATTATGATACCAGCCTCTAAAAATTATCATAGTCTGAGTTTACATGTTTCACCCAAAACTTGTGATATTAGCAAAACAAAAAAACAAACTAACTGAAACCTTGTTCACTATTACAAATTGTACTAACCCTAAATAGATTTGGAAAGTCATCATCATCAACACTCTTTAATAGCCCAATGCTGGACGTAGGCCTCCCCTTAGGTTTTCGCCTATTGAAAAATAGTACAAGTCATTACCTCGGCATTGGTATTCTAACTATCTCGTCTTTATCGATAAGTGGTCTACTCGCTTGAAATGCGGAAAGTCCATCTCGATCACTGTTCATAATAAACTCTCCATCTTTACTAACAATCGCTTTAAATTCCTCAGCACTCTCTAAATTATATTTTTTTACATCACCCTTGTAGGGCATCATTGTAAGAACAGAATCACTTAAACAATTAACTGTGACTATTCTTTCACCCCAAATCCAACAATCATCTATGTGAGGGTCAATCGACGCTCCTTTACTTGGATCATATTCTAAAGAACATTGTTCTATAACTTCATAATTTTTCAAACAATCAACTGTTTCAAATCTCTTCTGTAAATATTCAGAGAATTCGGGAAATCCATTAAATTGTCCAAGGACAATTTTTTTCTTTTTAAAATTAGTCTTTGGACCAAAGTTTTGCTTCCTTCTGCCACTTTGTGACGTATCCCAAGGCATATCATCAATATTCTTCATCAGTTCTGTTTCCTCATTTTCAGATAGAAAATCCAACTGGATGTATACTCCTGGATAGTCTAAAGCATTTCCCGAGTGATTAGGATGTTCCTTGTACGAGTCTACATCCCAACCTTGCCAAGCTTTATTGCACAATGGGCAGTAAACATAACTTTTATTTTTGTCTAATTCCAATGTTAACTTAAAATTGTCGGCTCCATATTGTGTTTCGCAAATCAAACATGTTCGACAGCCCTTGCAACCACACGGACGAGGCTTAGTCATTATTTTTTTTTATTTTATTTACTATTTCTTAGTAATTATAGACTTCCTAACCTTACCATTACAATTGACATTGACAACTGAACTGGCTGACATCAACTATATGCACACTATATGTATGTCACAGACACAGAACATATATACCCCTAAAGGTCACAGATCTCAAAATTCCTCAAGAAAGTTGTACGAGAAAAAAATATTTACTACTGATGAAAAAATTAACTTGGGTATTCGTTTTTTTTATAAATTACACTAAATTATTTTCTATTCGAAACTAATAAGAGGTCTACATCTCTTCGTCAGTTTTTTAACATTTTTATAAGTGAAAAGAAAATTCAACGCTGTCGATTTTGCCATTTTCAATTTTAAAAGTGCTGTTTTTTTTATTGAGCCTAGTAGGCTGGATTAATTTCGTTTTTTATAAGTGATTTTTTTTTATTATATTAATTGATCATATTAAAAAATAGCACTTTTTTATATTAGAGGGGGCAGACGAGCAGACGGGTTACCCGATGGAAAGTGACCATCGCCGCCCATGAACGTCTTCAACTCAGGAGTCACAAAAGCGATGCCTTTTAGGACGGAGTACGCTCTTTTCTTGAAGGTTTAAAGGTCGTATCAGTCCGAAAATACTACAGACGATAACCCATTCCACTGATTGGTTGTGCGGGGCAAAAAGTGTCTCGAAAAGCGCACAGTAGTGGAGCGCCAACTATCCAGGTAATAAGAATGAAAATTTTGCCGTGTTTAACGATAGCGGAAATTTGCGGCTGGTATTAGTCCGAACAATTCCTCGGAGCACTCTCCATGATACATGCGATAGAGAATACATAGTGACGCCACATTTCTACGTAACGCCAAGGGATCGAGCCGATCGGAGATGTTTGGGCTATTAGCGATTCGAGTCGCTCTTCGTTGGATGCGGACTTATAGAAAACGAAATTAAATAAAAACTTCCTCTAAATCTAAAATCGTCACTCATCAATAATTATAAAGATTCATACCAAATTATACGAAAAAGAAATATATTGAAAGAAAACTACATATTTTCTGTTTGTCTACTCTAATATTGATTGTAACAATGCTTCAGACGCTATATTGTTTCAATCATAATAATATCGTTTGACAACCGAATTTTATTTATGTTGGAGTGAGGTCGACTACCTCCGAACATTTCAATTAAATACAATAGTTTTACATTTTCGCTGATAAGTTTTAAAGTTTTTTTTTATTCATTACCCACAGAGCTGCGTTTTCATTTTAATAATAAGTAGAACCATAAAACTTGCAAGGATTTAAACCTGAACCAGTGAAGTAAGGAGAAAACTTAGGCCATATCGTATGTTCTTCACAGATTTTGTAAGCCCAAGCCCTATTGTTAAGTATAAAGACAATAATAATAATTGTACCAATATAGAGAGTATAATAAAACAAAGTAAACTGTTTTAATTTTATTAATTTATCAATTATTATATACATAAAACATATAATTTTCAGCTAAAGTTTTGTCATACGTATGTAAATATATGCGTCGTTTTAAGTGTATGTCGTCTAAAAGTTTTGTTAAATAAAAATATAGAATAACAATAATTATACATATTATTAATACACAAACAAGTAATAACCAGTTGATAATTTTAAACATAATGATTTAAATATGCGTAATTTAGGTACTTTTACTTCTTCTGAACATAATGATTATAAACTGATAATATGATATTTATTTTTTGAAGGATAAACGGTTTTAATCGCTATTAATAATAATTTCAATAATATTTATTGTTTATGAATTTTTTGCTACTAACATGTAAGGTGATTAAAGCCGGTGTGTTGTGATGTATGATTAATTTTGTTTCGTATTTAAAAAGCAAATGCTACAATAGTATTTTCATACGACGTAGTTATCTCATAATTTAAAACAATACTGACTAATTACAAAATTTTGCAGTATTTTAATATTAAATACTTTTCTTTTATTTTTAAAATGGTAACAAGTTTTTGTTTTTGTATACATAATATTTATTAAGGTACTACTACAGTTTTTGTACATAAAAAATTTTTTTGAGTGGTGTAACTTAAAAAATATATATTAGATAGTTCATTTGAATAAAAACTTTTCTACAAAACTTTTTGTGGCCAGCCACATTTCGGAAGTCCTCAAATCACTTATTTTTAGTCTGTTACACTTTAATCTAATAATCGAATGAAAATGTAAGTAATGTGCCCGGCAGCTAAACTTTTAAATATTTTTTTTTTAGATTTTTGTTTAAGATTTCTTATAGGTACATGCTGTGATAAAACGCCGAAAGAAGAATAGTGTTTTTAACGTGATTTATTTATTTCTAAGATATGAATAAATTTATCTCCAATTACTTAAATTACCAGCACCAAGAGGTAACCAATCATATAAAATGCTTGCATTCCTTTTTAGAAATACATTTCTATCCTAAATATATTTTTCCATTAATTTGTGTGATTTGAATCTAATCTAATATGTAACATACATAATATGCAATTTTAAAATGGCAGTGTGTCATGTAAATCTACAAATTAAAAATTTTTTACTCTTACAGAGACACAAGTAATCTTATGTTAGTAATATAACGTCGTGTCATAGATTTTTATCTCATTTAGGTATATTGCGTGTACATCTTCGAAGTAGTGTCATCGCTTGATAATTTCAGTACTTCGCCACAAGCTGTGAAAACTTCAAACAGCTTAAATTGAATTTGAAAACCCCTCAAATGACTTTGTAATTTCCTCAATCGAGTTCATCGACGTCAAAAATAACTTTGAAAGTGGGGTAAGAGACGAGCGCATGGGGCGGCGGAGACGGCGTCGGTGGCGCCACCACGACGGCGGGCGGGCGCGGTCCCTGCGCCATTAGCTGCTAGTCGTCCACCAGGTCCCACAGCATGAGAGCAGCATCGGATCCACCCGTGCTGATCAGGCAGCGGTCGTTAAAGAGAAAGCGAGCGCAGTGTACGGTTCCGCTGTACACTTTCATTTCGTTATATTCGGCTTTGGGGCTGGCGCACGGGTACCTAAAAAGAGTAGTTAGTTTTTAATTTTATTGTCTCGTTAACGGCTGTTACTTCGAGATTTTGTGAAACACAGATAATTAAAAAAGTTGAATGAATGAATAAATGTTATGTTTCACAGTAAAACATATATACATTTACACATAGTTTGTGGTTGCTAAATGTTCATGGACTTGAAGACAATTTGTGTTCGCATATTAGCATCTGTTGCTGAACTAGGCTAGAAACCTGTATTTCAACTTACAGCGCCTGATTACTAAACGACTAGAAAAGACAGAAAGAAACCTAAAATAAATATCTGTGTATTGAATCAAAAAAGTAGATAGGTAAGGCGGAATCTACCTGAACAGTCGCAAATATCCATCCATGTCACCACTGGCCAGGAGATCGTGGGCAGTAGATCGACTCGCAGTAGAAATCAGTGTTGTCATAGGGTAGAACCGATTGTTCCAGATACCTAGAAAAAAGGTTTATGTTGATAATAATATTCTGAGACATATTACACGACGCTTTTGAATTTAAAAAACATGACCATGGTCTAGAAACCATAGTGCAAGCTGCACTATGGTTTCTAGACCAAGAATAAACATAGTTACGTCAACATCATCATTTTCTTGCCCTTTACTTGGGGTCGCTATAATGACGGGCCTGCTGGTTTAGTGGTCAGTGACCCTGATTGCTAAGCTGGAGGTCGTGTGTTCGTTTTCCACCCAGGACGAATAATTGTGTGAGGAGCATGATAATTTTTTCTGTGTCTGGGTGTAATTTATCTATTATATGTATGTTTTTAGAATTATATTAGTATTTTTATCAGTAGGTTACCATATCTCTGGCTCTGCCTAGTTTGGGAACAGACTGTCGTGTGTGAGATGTGAAGTTATTATTTTTATTATAATGTGTAACATAACAATAGATTTTGGCTGGTTTCTTAGTGGCCAGTAACCTTCTTGACACCAACCACCCAGAAACCCCTCCATGAGCGCACAGAAAAAAAAAGGTACAGAAATAATGACTTACCTGATACAAGGAATCCAACAGTAGAATTGTATGTTGACCATTTGGTGTCTTTCATTGCTATCGGGCTTTTTTCAGGAGATAATGATTTGATATCCCCTGAAAATATGAGCGATAATTAGTGTATAAGTAAGAGAAACACACCAAAAAAAAGCCTCAAAGCGATGCCGAACTTTAGGTACAGGCTTTAATAAAATTATTACTACGTGATAATGCATTTGTTATGAATGGAAACATTTTACAGATGTGACCTCGGATGCAGTGATAAACATGATTAGTTATGGTAATTGTAGATTTTAAACCATGAAATAAGTGAAAATTTTAAACCCGTTCCAAAATTGAAAAAAAAGGCTCAAAAAAATTAAATTGATTGCATTAACAGAAAAAAAAATAACACAAATGTATAGCAAAATCTTACATAACGAACTTACAGAACGCCAAGTCGTAATCAGCAGTAACAGTTTGCAGGTAATTGCCGTCAAGACTCCAATCGAGTTGCGTGAGTGGCTGAGCACCTCGAATTTTGTTCGACTTTTTGTAAGAGAACCCATCTCGTGAAACGCGGAATAAGTAAATACTTCCATTTTGCGAGGCTATGGCCAATGTGTCTCCGGCTGAAAAATATAACAATACCTTGCTTGAGTGGACTTCAAAAGAATCACAAAATAATGGTTTGTGACATGTAAAAAAACTGTAACGAAGGTGTATAACCTGTACTGGATATTAAATATTCAGATAAATATAGTCTTCAATGGAAGACTACTCAGATTACACTTCGTTAGAAGAGATAAGAATAGGTAAATTGGCGTTGTGCAGCTTGAATCGCAATTTTTTATTGACATGACTTTTTATTAAAGTGAGTTTTCTATGCCTCTGCCATTTATTGGTTCAACGGGTAATTCAATTACTTCCTACAACTCGCTTGCTAATTTAAGAAAGATTTCTTACCAGAATTATATGCTAAACAGGTGAGTGGAGAACCGCAGACCCTGAGAGTTGCTACGTGAGTCCCAGCATCAGCATTTAACACGACCAGGTGACCTTCTGTACTACCGGCCGCAAGAGCTCCTCCATTGGGATGCCAAGCTAAAGACACGCATTCATATCCAACCTGAAAGAAGTAATCAAGTTCAACCTATTGTTTAAGTTGTGGAATAGTGTACACTTGTACAGTCACTTCATCATTTAGAGTTTTATTATTAACAGTCGGCAGAAAAAAATATTGAAAAAAAATATCATCAATAGTTTTAAGTTAAATTTACAAATTTTAATAGTAATTAATATTAAGTAATTAATTATTTTCAAATTTTACGACGTCAGAATTTGTTATTTTATACCTACTAATTGCCAGAGAAAGTAGAGTTTTGTCATCGAGAAAGAAAAACTGATTGACAGAACTTACGCGTAACCATCATTTGAAGCGGCGTAAATCTAGAGGTACGAACTCTCTAGTACGAACTTCTTACTTATATTGATATCTTTTAATCAAACTACAGATCTTTTATTCGCTACGGCACTACGGCATCTACGGCTTGTAGATGACCCGTCGTCGTGTGTGGGAACCACGGTGTTCCTATTTTACTTGCTTCTGCTAGGGTGACAGATGGCTTTATCTATCACCCCCAGACCTACACTTATGTAGGACAGAGGTCGTTACGAAAAAAAGAAATAACACATGTTTCATACTATGTTTTAATGTTCGATTTTTTTGGTTTTTAATAAAATATATGTAGTTTCAGAACTTCGAGTCTGTTGTTAACAAGATTTTCGTTTTCAAAAGTATGTAACTATTATCCCGGGATAACCCCTGATAATCAAACATTCAGTTTTCAAAGTCACTGATATTATATATTTATTATATATCACGGGGTTAAAAAGAGCACTGTAAATTTTACCTGCGTGGCGAATACCAATTTGTGGCCCTTCCATAACGCAATATTTTTGTCATGTCCTGCTGAGGCAAACATTTCATCATCAGGATGAACAGCGAGTCCCATAAGTTGTTTATGATGTCCGAACACTACCTACGGTACCACAGTGAAAGCAGTTAATACAAATAAAAATATTGGTACTTATCAAGCAAACGGTTGAGAATTGAAATTACTTGATTAAATCTTCTCTGTAGGGATCCCTCCATAATGTTGTTCCTAGTCGTTCCTACATAAATGTTGCCATCATTTCTGCCTGGCCTCTGAGGATAAATGCTTCGAACCCCGCCTGCAGTTTCCGGTAGCTGAAAAGGTAAGTAGGTCCGATAGGTACTTTATGAATTTAAAATAAAAAACAAAAACGAACATGAAAATGTTTGTGCTAACTGTTGCTGTAAAATTAATTCGTTCATTCAACGGTATAAGTACCTACTGTTGTATGTACTCACACTCATATGATTTTTCCAAACTTATACATATCTTTCCTTCTTGCTGCCCGAAAAAAAGAAATGTATAGTTTTTAGTGGGTTCGTAGTGCTCATAGGCTACGGTACGTGCCACGGTTTACCATCAAGGGTTGTACGCAGGTTCTTCACCAAAATCATATTAAAAACGCGAAACTTCTACATTTGCTTCGTTTTTTAAACATTTTTCATTGACGCTCAGCTGGTATTGGTCGTAGCGTGATATTATATAGTCTATATCCTTCCACCATAAATACGCAACGCGAACATTAAAAGAATGTTTCAATTCGAAACTGTAGTTCCTGAGATTAGCGATTTCAACCAACTAAACAAACTCTTATAACAATTGAGTAGAAATGAGATTTACTCCTTGCTTTTTTCATTTAGGGGAAGGTTACGATCAATGGACCAGCGCTTTCTTTGGACCACCTAAGTATTTCATAAACTAAGCATGTTAGAACGTGTTCAGTCAGTTGCTAAGCAAGTGTTGAGCCTGGCTGCTGTCCTTCAAACTTCGGTATCATTGTGCCATGGTTTGCGGAGCAGCGTGCACAAACGTTTCTGGGAGCACGGCGATATAAAAATCGTGAAACGAAAATTTTTCATATCAATAGGATATTTGTCTGTGTTTTAGTGAGTCTGTGTTATGTCTGTGTTTTTGGTGAGTCTGTGTTAGATAGTGGAGATATTTTTAATTGGACTAGAATTAAAGACCTTTAATAAACTTTTAATTTATTTCTAGGGTGAAGTCAGAAAAAAATAAGAAAACATATTACGCCTGGAAGAGAACATGAAACTTGTCATAGAGGCTGTCAGATAAAATCAGGTATTAAACAAATCATCTCGAATTTATGGAATTCATGATGTTCCGGAAGCAGCTTTGGAATGCAGATTGGATGGGAAAAAACTAGAAAGCCATGGAAGAAATTCAAATTGTAGGAACCGAAAGTGATCTTTTCAAAAAACGAAAACATATTTATTTGTAGTACACGAATTCAAACACTATCAAGGAGCAGAGCTGCGCTTCCACAGAGGTTACTCTGTGGAAGCGCAGCTCTGATACATTTTTACATAACAACTGTACATTTTTAATATCATCATAGGAAATTGGTACTGATATGATTATTTTACCTTCAACAACCTGAAATACCAAAAATGGCACTATTGCTACAGCTGACTGAAAATTATATTTCTATTTTTCCTGGGAAAACGAAAAACGGGCTTATAAATTAATTAACGTAGGTCGAAAGGGCTAATTGAGATCTATAAAATGAGATTTTCATTATTTTGAAATTTTAATATCTGCAGGCTGGAACGTACCCGGTGGCAGTCGGACGACGACTGTCACACGAATGAAAGTTGTATATTTACAAGCCCACGCACACATAGGGCCGCGCGCACAACTGAGTTGAACTATCTATACTCATCCCTAAATTTAACTTAAGTGTTGGTCGATTCATATTTATTTATATAGATTTTATTTCGTCGTTAAATAGTACCTGAAAAAAGGAATATTAATAATTGGAAGCCAACGCCAATTAATATTCACATTTCAATACAAATGTTACTAAAGTTATAAAAAAGTGAAGTCCTATACAAACCTTTGTTTCAGTTATCTTTTTATAATTTTGCAAGGAGTCCCAAGCCGCTATTTTTCTATCCTTTTCACCTCCGGAAATAAGAGTACCTTCTGAGAGCATTACTAAAGAGCTTATTCCTTTGATGTGAGCCTATAATCACAAATGGTTAATATGCGAGTTTAGAAAATATCCTCGAGGTAAATACATAAACTTAAAGACCTTGATTTCTTGTACCTCAAACTCCATTCGTACGAAATAAGCACCGTCACTGTCAACGCTGTAGGTTGTGATAAAGCCATCACTATCAGCAGTCACGACATCTCCGTCTTGTTCAAATTGTAGTGCTGTGACGTGTGTACGAGATGGCTAAAAACATTGCGAGACATATCACACAGCGCCTTCTAGACTAAGTAAAGCTTATAGATACTGTACAATGGGTTTACTGATCAAGGATATAAATACAACAAAAACACACCCAACAAATAGTCCTCATTGTCTTGCATAAAAAATTTGCTTTGAGTATGTATCGTGTATATATACTGCCGTAATCAAAATGTTAATTATCACGACCTTGGGGGTGTGAAATATAAAAAAGGATTTAGTGTTTATTATTATTAAATGTATTCTATTTGTATCTGGTTCTTCCAGCAGTAGGACGTCTAAAGATACGGTTCCTGTCATCTTGACCAAACTCTCGATGGTTCTTACTTTTGAAGTATTGCTTGCTAGCGGCAAGAGCTGTGTCGGTTAATTTGTTTACATAGAATAAACAACTAAATTCCTATAAGTCTATCATATGTGCATCTAAAAGTTCTTTATATGTATCTCTTTATGTGTATCTTGTATGTCAAACATGGTAACAAAGTTTTAGGTATATAAATGAAAGATGAGTAGATTCAAAAAAAAATTAAGACATATTCCGTATTAGGAATATATCCTGTGGTCATGGGGGACTACACAAACATACATTAAAATGCACACGAAGAAAACCCAGAATCAGAACAACAATTTATGGATCACACAAGTGTTGTCCGATTGAACCCACAACACAAGCGCTTATACCACTACGCCATCTATGCAGTAGAATAAATAAATCATACCGGTTTTATAATATCAGTTCGTTCAAAGAACCCATCTTTCCGTCGGTTCCAAAATGCTAAGTGCCCTTTTCCGTGTGTGATGAGAAGATTATCGTCTAGTGGATGAAATGCAGCGCCAGTTAATTCCTCTTGCAGTGTCTGCAATTTGAAGTAGAGTGGCATCATTAGTCATCATTATATTATTAGGATAAGAGTGAGAGAACTGGCGAAAAGAGTTATATTAGTATAATATTCTTAGGACAGTTCTGGGATAAAGTTTGAACGCAAAATTAAAATAAAGATTAAGATAATTCATCTCATTCCTTCTCCGCCTTTTCCATACCTACTGATTCAATTAGCAGTATTCAGTATGTAGTTTATTCTTTCCTTTAAGCGCTATTTCTTTGCCTTCTTGTTTAAAGGAGTTTCGTATTTATATGTATATAATCGATTAACTCTCTGCCTCTAAAGTCGCACCAAAAATAAATTATTCCTTAACTTAATATTTTTTACTCAGAAACAGAAACTATATTGGTATATATATATAATTTACATTTAAAAACTGCTAATCAATGCAGGACAAACCTTACTAGACACACTTTTACATAATTACTTATTCGTTAAATTTTTAGATTGAAAGATTATCACAGCGTGGAACTTTTAAATTAGTTAAGCTTACTTTTATAAGCTTGTTGTTGCGATAATTATGCTAATAATACCCTAGTCACGAGCCACAAAGAAACGCTCCAATACAAAAAAGTCAATTGCAAAAAAAGCGTATTAAGCGATACGCTTTCTTAGTCGCACGTGAACGTGTACCGTGCTGACTTACTCGCGTGACTGCGATAAGATGTTACTTGATAATTATAAAGAATTATTACTAAGGGTAGTAAGAAAATAAATTTTTTCTTTAAAAAAACTAGGTGGCACAGGAAAATAGCATTTATTTTTTTATGATTGAACGAGATTTTGCATGGATAGAAACGTAACCATAATTGATGGTCCCCGCCATTGGATTTTATTTCTTCTAAACAGCTGTATGTCAGTTGATTGTGGTATTAAATTAATCATATTCAAATTCTTATACATTTTTTAATTTAAGTTCTAGATACAAGAAATATAATAATCTTTATATCAATATAATCGCCTATTATCCTTTTTTTTACAAAATAAATAAAAATAAGAATACAGAGAAGATTTATAAATGTATCTTTTTGGTAAGTCTTTTATTTATTCCGTGAAAAACGTTCTCGTATTAACCACCAAATGATTTGATTGAACCTTTTATTTTGTATATTTTAGTTTGTTATCCTGATTATTCTGATAGAATAAACACTTTAAATGGATCAAAGTCACTTAAAGGACATTTTGCGTTTGTTTGAAGGTATCAGCAATATCTTGTTTTTTGGTATTATATTGTGAAGGATCCATGGTTCACTGGTGTAAGACTGAGTTACGTATGTTTTTCGTGAGTAACTCTGCAATTCTTAACTGGCTATTACTACTTTTACCTTGTACTTAAGTGTTATCATTTAATAGTACATACGCGATTCTTTCGATACATTTTTTATTATACGTTCTTAAACATTTTAAATTGATTTTAATAATGAAAAATTACAAATTGTTCGTGTCCTAATACGAAAATATGGGTACTTTTACGTGAGATTGGACAATTTTAGTTGCTGACAACATATTTGTATTTTTATTTAAATAGGTCATGTTATTTTTCAAAATTATAACATTATGACGTTATGGCGACCGATTTGTAGTCACCCTAAGGGTTCAGGGGCGTGTCGTCCGTTCAAGTTATGCCTTTCAGAGCCATACTGTTGAACTAGCGACCAAAGCTACGAACTAAATACTATGAGTTTTCTATGGCTGCGATCTAGTTTATGCGTCGACAAATTGTATTCGTAATGCCTCTTGGTAATCAATGCAAGACAAACCTAATGTATGGCTGAAGTTTTATTTATTTAGAAAGAATGAAAAAAAAAGATGGTTGAATTTAAGGTACAAGTTGTAATGTTACCCAAAACAGCAATGTCGTTAACGCCACCATACGATCTACGTTTTTGCAAGATGTAAGCAATTGAAAAAAAAAGATAATTTCTCTCACTTTTGGGACACACTATATTTTGTTATTACTTCTCAATAGATTTAAATAGTGGTGTATTATCGATTTATTTAACCGACTTCAAAGACACAAAAGACGAGGTTCTCAATTCGTCTGTTTTTTTTTTGTGTGTTTGTTACGCGATATCTCCGTCAATTGTGGACCGATTTTCAAAATTCTTTTTGTAATCGAAAGAGTATACTTCCGAGGTAGTCCCATTACCACCAACTCAGGATCTGATGATGGGATCCTATAGAAATCGAGGGAAACCCTCAAATCTTACAGCCCCGACAGCGTGTTTTAGCTTATTTCTCCCGCTATATAATTACTTGCACTTGCATAGTGGTTATCTCATGTTGCTGAGCTGATGATGGAAGGATCCTAGATCTTAAGGAGTTAGAGGATAACTCTATCAAAAATCTAACTATGTAATAACCTTGTTTTATTCTGTCAAGATATTTGTTAGGCGTTTGTACCGACCGGTCTTGGTACCGACTTCAAACAGACTAAAAGGGACTATTGCTATTATAATGTTACCTGTACCTGGTGTTTATTATAGTTTTTATGTTCTTTGTCAGTATTGTTTGAAGACGGTTCAAATTTTTTTTAAAAGATTTATTTAAATCATGTACGTGTACATATTTGAGTTTCAAGCAGTATGGTTTTGAAGTTGGCGTCAAGAAACAAATTTACATAGATATTAAACATTTTTATTTCTTTTTTTCATAACATACTGGAAAAAAGTCATGACAACATAAACTTTCTAGAAAATTCTAAGCAATGGAATAATGTCACGTTAATTCGCGTTACACGTTGTACAACAAAGTTTATGGTTAGCTATGGGGGCTATCGGGACATATCGCCATATCTTAATGTGTGGACAGACCTTGGTCATTGCAAGGTTGCAGACGAGACGCCATATCGAGTGTGTAGTTTGGTTTCACGAGTTCAGATAAGGTTATCTAGATATAAAGTAAAAAATGATAAAATGACATTAATAATAATATGTACACATATTATTACGTACTCATATATATATATATGGTATACTTACTCATATATAGTACATGTATATGCGTGACACAAGAATGGGTGAATTGATCCCCCGAACAAGGACGGAATGTGACGTAGAATCAAAGCGGAATAATAAATTTATTTGTCACCAACCCTATTATCCCATCAGTGGAAATCTGTTTCAAGAAATTCATTACAAACGTTGTCTCCACCACATATTAATTTGAGGAAATTAAACTAGAGAGGGAGATTTATTTTATATATTTTTCACGTCTGTTATTGAAACACAAAAGTAGCTATGCTTATATATAGAAATATTGATAGTAAAATTAAGTGACATTTTCATTTGCTGATTCTGGAGCTTCATTATTTGAGAAAAAAACTTTTAAGTGTTTATATTATACAACTTACAGCAACTTTGCCAAGTAAATGACCCCATTGCCATTGCCAGACTGAGAGTATGCTTTCTCGACCAGCGTCCACTGCCAACACATAGCTACCGCCATTCTGTTAAAAAACAAAATCATGCAATCAATCAATCAATAATAATAATAATCTACAACATACACACAACGCCATCTAGTCCCAAACTAAGCAGAGCTTGTACTATGGGTACTAGACAACTGATATAAATACATAATATACTTTTTTTTGTAAATACATACATATTATACATAGAAACACCCAGACCAAATCAAACATTAAATGTTCATGCACACAAATGTTTGACTTGAGCGGGAATCGAACCCGCGACCTCTGGAATAGCAGTCCGTTACACAAACCACTACGCCATCCGGTCGTCTGTTGTCAATGAATCAGTTTTTATTGTGAAACATAGGTATACGAGTACAAAGGTTGTTTACAGTGGTAGAATGATCTACTATGTTCTGCCATTTAGGCTTACAATAATAAAAAAAAATATTTTGTGAATTTAAAAATAAATAAATATTTTAAATAAATTTAAGACATACAAATAAAATTACATTGAATTATCGCAATTAATGCAATATAATATTTCAGTTTGATTTTTCATACCTTATTTTAATCATTATTCCCTGTAAGTCGCAAAGTAGACTACATAGTTTCTAATTTAAAACAATATCGATGTGACAAATTATTAGGGAGTAAATGTCAGGAATCCAATATGAGTTGCTGCAGCCAACGACCAATTTAAAGAGTACAAGAAAAAAATCTGCCCAGAGATAAACTCATGTTACCTCCTTTAATATATAGATTTTATGTTTTCAATTGCAAAGGCAGAAAAGAGAATGAAACTGCCGCCCCTATTTGTGATTGTTTCAGAGAGCCCAGTGGGTGTTTACTTCACATGGACTCGCTCTCGAAGACGAGCGTATTTAGTGTTGCGATTGGTGAAGATTTCTGTGTGGGCCAATCGCAACGCCAAAAGCGGTCACCGTGGCGATCGAGTCGATGTGAAATAAACTCACACTAGGCACTTTGTTCCTTTAGTAAAACGTAACAACCCTTGAGAATGTTACGTCGAACAGTACAATCTAAGGTTGATCTAATGTTTACGGCAATATTCTTATATTTGACAATGTTCTGAGAACAAAAAAAAAGGAATGAAAATAATACCAATGTGCGAGTGTAGGTAGGTACCTATGTACGTTTGTATGTCTATTTCTTTGTCATGCTTTGTAGCCTAAACGGCTTTTGGCTTCGGAGGTTCGTTAGATTCGTCCTAATTATGAGAGTAACACTGGAGTAACTATCTGAATTTACAAAACGTAAATTAAACTATAACGGGTAATAGTCGGGTCCTTTGTTACTTTTGTCATAAATTAGCTTGTTATCTTGATATACTTACGAGTTGCGAGAAAGCAACAGCAGACACACCAGTCTCGAATTCAGCCATACCAAAAACATGCAAAGTCTGCAATGTGTCAGTACTCCAAATGCGCACGTGCGCTTGAGCACGACGTCCGCGACCTGCGCGCTGACCACTCGCCACCAACTCTCGCGACGGGTGCAGTTCCATACTGATAGAGAGATAAAACTTAGTAATTACAATTATGTCAATATTTATAAGGTGCGATAGATAATTATGTCCCGTAACTAAGTTTCCGTTTTAGGCATCTAATATGTACAGAAGTCGAGAATGTTTCTAAACAATAATTTGTAAACGACCAATTTAATTATTTTTCTCTGTCATATAGATAGATTATATCTAATGACACTGCCGGACTGTGGAGTAACATATTTTATGGTGTATAAAAAAAAACTTTGACAAGTAAATGCCAAGTAAATTCACTGCAAAGTTTTTCTTGTGAATATTACTAGTAACGTGATTCGTATATTATTTTTAAAGCTAAACTTCTATCAGGAGAGGCTTCGCGGTAGGAAACGAACCCGCGACCACCTGATTGCAAGTGTGCTCCTTAGCCACACACAATCCCCCGCTCAGGTTATATAAGACATACGCATGGTGGTACACTTTTTGACTGTTTTAAACTGAACCAAGGAGATGGTTGAACATTTAACAATGTACAAAATGTTAAATTTATAATTAAGTATATATCTTTTATAAGTATTTGAACATGCAATGTTTGTCGACTCCTGATTCTTATTCCAGCTGCCCCATGTACAGCTAATTGCTTTTCAATGGAGACTTCAAACATGTTGCACTTAAATGGGGGCAGAAGACCCTGTATACCGTAAGCCATTTTAACAGATATAAATTATAGAATATGAACGTAACCATAGTGCAATTTAATTAGGTATACACGCCATCCAGGGGCGAGAAGGTTGAACTGAAACAAAACTTACCATTGAATGTCTTCGGTATGGCCAATGTAATGTCTCTGTGACTCTTCATCCCTGTCGTACATTACGGCGACGGCGGCCACGTAATACAAGAGTTCTCCGGTTGGTAAAACCCACAGGTTGCGCCGAGTGTCAGTACCTCGATACCCATAACTAAAGTGAGAGTTAGAACATCACTAGCATATACATACCAGAGAGACGGTGAGATGTTGAAAAATGTTGTAGTTGTATGTATTGCAGTTACAAATTATAGTAATACATAGTTGTGAAATTTCAAAACATGTGTCATGAAAAATATTTATAATAAAATAGGAGTTTTTTTTACTGACAAAAAAATGTTTTTCATGTAATTAAAGGTCTTTGTATTGATCTCTCTCATACACTGATTTTGTGTGATTTTTCTATTTGAGTTAAGACATGTATTTTGATTAAAAGTCAAAAACCAAAAGTAGTAATGATTTATTGCCAAATGAAGCATTTCTGTTTTGCTCAATTTTTTAACACGCTTCATTTTGTATAATATCTAAAGCAAAGTTAGGTTACTCACATCATTTATAACTCAAGAACAAACTGGACTGATTTTTATTATCTTTGTTGAGTTTCGACTTATCTCTGCCTCGAATGGCAAAATAATTAATTCAATATTTGAAAAGTTCACGAAAAACAATATACAGGGAAAGAATTTCCTCATTTATTGTGTATAACACAAAACATGAACGAAGTATGGAGCTACGGTTAAAAAGGCAAATGAAACTTGCAATTAAATGTAAGTATGAAATAAAGAAAGCTTTTGTAAACTATATAATACACAAAAAAAACTATAGGTTTACTAGCAAGCAACATTTCATTTAATAAGTAGCTTTAGTAAACATATTATATTAGGAATTAGTTGGACACGCACAGGCAATATCTCACACCAAATCATTAATGAAAGCAAGAAACGCGTTTAACACCCGCGGGTACTTCGAATTTCAAGGTTTGCTGCACTGTGTTCCGTGATTGAACACTTTATTATTAACTAAGTTCTTTATATAAATGTAAATGAACATAATAACTAATGAATTATGACATTTTTGGAGATAATGATGTATATAATGTAATGATGTATATCAGTTTCTTATTACTTACACCCATTCGAGCTGCAATTTCTTCTCTGGTGGGGAGTTATCGAGAGGCGCGTGATGTATGGGTGGATAGAAAGTACGGCGTAGTCCTCGGATTGTCACGCGAATTGGTTCTTCTTTAAGTACTTCTAATAGAGTATAGTCTGCACAACATTAAAAAGAATAATATTGTTCTCGTTAGGATAATTTAGTGAGAATCTCAGATTTACTGACGAAATGGAAGCGTTTAAACAACTTTTTGTCTTAGAACTAGTGATTTAAATTCGATAATAGCATATTAATAATAAAAACACGCCATTGAATATAGGGAACAAAAAATTGTTCCCCTTTTCCTATTGGTAACACATATGTAGGTACCAAACTAAAAATATATAAATCGGGGGTCAAACAGAAGAAAAGGTACTGAACCTACATTTTTGTATGTTGTTGTTTGAACTTAAATAAGGTTACATACCTGAGTTGCGAACGATCTCCCCTTCAGGCGCATAGAGCACCCGAGGTCGACTTTTGCTTCGAGCACGTCTTCCGCGCATGTCCTCAGATAATGGCGGTACTGCTACGTTTCCTCTTGAACGTGATCTGAAAAAAAGCAAGGCCTTAGTTTCACATAAAAACTTTTAATAAGTGTTGAACATCTTGTAACATGACCGATTTGAAGTAATATACTAATTATAACAATCTGGATAAGTTTGGGGTTAATTTTGTTTAAGTAGCTCTGTGGTCTTTGTGTTTTTTTTCGTGTATTTATCTATACCACACATTTACCTTTACTATTTATTTGCTTTATTATTTAAATCTCTTAAAAATAGAAAAAAATAATGTAATAAGTCAATAACTAGAAGTGTAGTCTTGTGTCTTTGTAATTGGAATACATAAGACGTACGTTCCTTATCTAGGACTAGGTATCTAACTACCTTACGGTTCGACTCCCACCCAGGACAAATAATTGTATGATGAGAACAATTATTCATTCGATCAATTTATCTATAATATGTCTTCCTCCTCGCTTCAGTTTCCTCGATGCTGAGGGTCGTGACCGCCTCCTCGTAGCAAGAGTTTGTTGTGGATCACTCGACGTCACCCGTTCCTATCTGCCGCTGAGTGTAGAGCATCGTGGACTGTAGTGTCGAGAGTAGTGCGGATCTGGTCAGTGCAACGTGTCCGACCTCTACCTCGTGGTCTTTTTCCATCTACTTTGACATAATATGTATGTATTTGGAAATATTAAAGTGTGCTTATTACCAGTCTGACTACCATACCACAGTAAAGGCTGTGCCTACTTTGGGATCAGACTGTCGTATGTGATGTTATTATTATTACTTTAAAGGTGAAGGTATCGGTAACTTATTAAACCCTTAGAACAGTAAACCCTATAGTTCTTTGTTAACAATATTCGATAAATTACCTTCTAATAGGTGATTCTATAGGCAAAGGCGCACTGGGTCCAGGGCTCAAAGCAGGTGCCACGACAAGAGAGCCCAAATAAAATGTCTCCACATCTGCAAACTCATTCCGAAGTTGAGAGAAACTTCGAACCTGTAATATCAACCGATAACTTACTATCTAATAAAGACAATGCTTAAAAGGTAACTTAACTATCACAGATCAAATCAAAAGAAAAGAAGAAAATCGAAAAAGAATAGAACTGAACTTTTCAAGAAATAGTAAATTGCTTCATAGTGGAATCATTTATAGGGTAGATAGTACACAAAGATCAGTCCAACCCGATTTCACCATCAAAAATACAACAAGTTCATCTACTCGTACTAATACCTACCTTACAAATATCCCCGCAATTAAGTCCAAATTTACATCATTCCTATGCATTAAAGTCTCGACAGTTTAAAAAAAAACGTTAATAGTAATTTCAGTCCTGATGAATCCTATCCTGACAGTGTATGATTTTACCTCTTGTCCAGTTATTGTGTACATTCTTTTCGCTCCACTCATCTTCAGCACCTGTCCTAAATCTTCTAGAACCTCTTCAAAAGGTTGCGTCGTTCGTAAGTTTAATAACACACGGCACTGCAACATAAATTAGCAATAATACTTTTAATAATATTATGTAATGTTAGAAACCATGAGAAGAATTATAGAGGGAATAGAAGAGTATAGTAATAATGTTGTTACTATACAAGTAGGGCGTAGAGAAAGTAAAAAACCCTTTTATTTTAGTGTAAATTTTAATATTCTATGAATCAAAAGTACACAAAAGATTATACATACATGTTTAAGATTATAAATGTCTTTATCATACAATTATACAAGTCCACACACCCCTCTGTTTAGTGGCTTAATCACAGAGTACATTGTAATATACTGAAATCTCCGATTCCAAGATATGTGTCATAGGCCTGTCAGAGGCTACACTCACATACGCACACGCATACTCACAATCAAAAGATCTCATGCATACATCATACCAAGCACGAAGTTTACTTTTAAGTTTTAATTTCAAGTGCCTTATTTTAATTTTCATTTGTAAATTTGCACGTATTTTAATGCAATCTGAATTTTAAAAATAAAAAATAGATAAATGAAAGTATACCATAAGATTACATATTATTACAAGCTATAGTAGTAAATGCTGCTATTGTAATACCAGACTATTAGAACACCTTGCACGTGTTTCTATTGGTACTTAGGGCATATGTGGCCTCGGTCGAAATTTCGCCAAGCTTTCTGAGCAATCACTAGTGTTTACCTGCCAAGGCCTTTGCATTGAAAGCGTCTTATTACAGCACCCACAAATCGGAACAATGAATTCGCCTTTCTAGCGATAGCGGTACAATCAATGATAAAGTAACATTGAAAGTGACATGAAAATTATTGTGTTTCGGTTGATTTTAATAACTTTTACGAACTGAAACATTAATTATGATTTAGTAGTATAGTATTTCATGATCATTGTTGTTATTTTAGGGGTAAGACTTATAATAAGTACTAAGTATATTATTAAATCCCCGCAACAGATTATATTCCTAGTGCTGGAGTTGTATTTTTTTAATATAAGTTTGTTGCGCAATGTGTTGCAATATTGCAGTTGCAATGCCATTTTAAAAGGGGATTTATTGCAAGATATCGGTAAGTATTGCTATAGTATTGAAATATACTTAAACTTAATATATTCAGATATTACCAATAAGTATGGTCTACAGACGTTCAAATTAAAAAGTGTACCTAATACAATATAGTTCACTAAAAATATGCATTAATTTTCAGAATACAATCCAATTTTTAGGGCAAGTTGTGCCTCTAAAGCTGTATTCTAGATCGTGCTTTCGCGAAGGTTACAATTTGAATTTTGTTCGTGATTCATTTTTTATATCTCAGAGCTACCAAACCATTTTTATAGCAACATTAAGATAACAAAATAATTTAATTTTTAAATCACATGTCACACACTCACATGTATGACGCCATACGCTCTTATTGTGACAGTTTTGTTCTGATCTAGTCTTTCGTTTGTGTGATCATTTGCATAAAGATTAGCATATATAGTAAGTTTTATAAACTCCAGCATCATAAAGCAATCTAAATAACAAATACTGATATTGCATCGTACGGAAAAAGATTTCCCTTTGGTATACACACTTAGAGCACTTATATGCATAAAAAAATTGGAAAAATCATCAGTGAGTATCAGTTAAAGTCACCTGTATCGAATGGTCCATGTTATTAATGATCCTGATGACCCGTCCACTGGCTGGCTTACCGCCACCTGGTGGGGGTGCATCGGACTCCGCAACTGACTGCTTGCGCGTCCCAGTACGGCTCCACGCACCGGTCCCAGTAGTTGTCCCACCGTACCACATGCCGTTCTTCTTGCCGTAACTCGCTGCCTGTATAGTGAATTTTCTTATTAATTATAAGATTTTCTAAATTGACAGATTAAAAAAGTTGCAAGATTGCAAACAATTTTTGTTTAATCACCATGAAAGAATGATTTAGTGCACTATATGTATATGTCCTCGTTTCTTCCATTAGTTTTTTGAAATTATGATAGTAAGACAAATCTATTTGTTATATGGGCCTCTAAAATTAGACACCGTGCGTACTGCTGCCTGGGCATCTATTTTTTTTTGTTATTATGCCTTACATGGCGTTGAAATCGCAGTTACAATAATTTAGATAGGCGACAGCTGTTTTATTTTATTTATTTTCTCAGAAGACGGAAGATCAAAGTTGAGATTAAAAAACTTTATCTTAAATGTTTTTTGCTCTTAGAATATTAGTACTGCAGTTTATGTATGTTACAGTGCACTACTAATATTCTTAATTACACTATTAATATTAGTTGCTACCTCCTACAGACTAAGGTTCATGTTTGTTGTTGCCGTAAACTTATTTTTCTCCCCTTTGATAAAACGAAATCGAGGAAATTGAAAACGAAAAATTTTCTTAAGGCTCCAGTAAAGTGAAAAAAATGTTTATTATTGCAGAATACAGTGAAGTGGTCTTTTAACAGCCGAAACCACAGATCAAGCATAATTAAACAAGTACCTATAGAAATCATGAGAAGAATTATAGAAGTAGATAAATCTATTCAGTGAAAATAATTCCAGTAGAGCAGTGCGTGTTAATTCAAGCTTTTAAAAAGTTATACATGAATTTGAACTTATTACATTGTTGAAAAGAGTTCAAAGTGCGTCCTGTATTACCATTACCTTAAGCGTTTTCGTTTCACTCGGTATAGTTGCAACGGCGAGATATGAATTTTTCTGTTTCAAAATAAGATTGATTACGATTATAAAAAGATTCTAATTTTCTAATAAAAAGATTGTAATGAAATGTAAAATGTTTGGAAACCATTAGCCGTAAGTTTCTAAATCAATAATATCTTGCATCAATGCAAGGTTCTTAAGTCAAAATATAATGAATGATTTACTTCTAGCTATTTTTTAGTCACGCATTGCTTGCGACGCTTGCGTTATATTTGCGTACTAAATACCAAAAATAAATTCAAAGTAATTCAGGTCAATGAAGGTCCACTTTAAGTTGAACTTTGTACGCAAATTACATTTTTTATAGTTTCGTCAATAAATTCTTGGACTTTGTGTTTACGTCACAGTAAGCTTAGAATTTCGATGATTTAAAACCTTACGGCGGCGACTAGTTGAAATAAGGTATTGCGGCCCTGACACATATTCTTAATTTTATAAATATATTTAAACTTTTATAAATTCAAAAACGTAAGTACAGACACTATGATTTATTGAAATAGCCGAAAAATGCCGTACTTTTGGAAGAAAAGGCTTTGTATGTTGATATTTAATTCTACTTTAGTCACGACATCGCTTTCAAGAAATTTGCTATTTCAATTCGCAGTTATCACTGTTTTGAATAAATATCGAATTAATTATCGATCAATAAGTTGGTCCAGAAAAAAACATAATGTTTATTGATTCTCAGCGTTCTCATATTTTCATGTTTTCATGACTCGTGTAAGTGTAGAAAATGTATCAAAAAGTGCAGTTATTCACAATGTTGTTTTGTTAAATTCCCTTGCCTCCGCAAGTCCACGCGGAACGTTATTTTTTAATTTCCCGCGAATACTACAGCTTTAACCTACTTTTGTTATGTGACCCCAATGCTAAGTTTATGGATGTTGTTTCATATGTTTTTTTTAAGTACGTTCTCAGATTGATGAAGAAAAACGTATAAAGGTATATTTGTAAGGTATAATTAAAAAAAAAACAAATGTATCTATTTATATTGTTGTAAACACGTACTTATAGTTAAAAAGCTGTTACTGTAAACAGATTTTTTAAATTCTCAATTTAAATGTATGTCAATTTAAAAAAATAATGTTCATTTTACAGTTTCAAGTCATCAACGAATCTAATTAACCATTACGTGTTGACTACAGATGTGATTGCACTTCAGGTTTATAAATTATATAGGATCACGTTAAATTAAAAAAAAGTTACATGTATATGTAAATTACAAATTCAAAAAAAGAAAAAAAAAGTGCATAAAGTTTAAACAAAGTAGGAACCTTGCTGTACTAGTTAAAAATAATAACTTCACATATATTTATATACTATTTTAATAATAAAATTGTATTCACTAGAATAATGTTTATTATTACTTGAATATACATTACTAATACTATAACTGTAATTGTAAATTGTATTCATTCTTATCAATAATAAACTGTGGTTAAGACAAATTAAATTGAACAGTGAAAAATTACGCAATGATATAATAAGCTCAAATAAAAGCTCACCATGACAGAAACTCTCAACTCTTCGTCTTCATTCGTGCAATATCGAACCTTTACGCGTGGTATTTTGGAACAAGCACTCGGTGACATCCACGACTGGCGTTCGACCGACCACTGCCCCCGAAAACAGAAACCTGGCTTCATCCAAATTATGTCAAAGTCCTTGGACGGTGGTACTGACCGTCCTCCAAGGACAGACTTTATCGCGAGTCCTATGCGTGCAATTATATTTGACGTAACCAGTTAGATTGGTCTTCCCACCCCCTCGCCAATGTTCTGTATTCAATGGAACTAAGAGGTCAGGAATACGCTTCCAAAGGTCTACAGTGATTCGTACACATATCGTCTGGTACGTGTAAGGGGGGCGTGGAGCGAGGTCAAGTCTTAAATTGCTGCATAACAAGTTGACTGCGGTGTTTGAAATTAATATGTCTTATAATGTCAGCCATTTTGTCGTTTACGTTGAAATTTGTATTTCGTATCCATATAAGTAAGTTGGATTACAAGGGCTCAAATTTTATTTTATTTTTTATAGCTGGCTTATGGGTGGACGTAAAAATTAAAAGAAACATGTTATGAAATAAAAACTAGTTCATTTTATTAATTTTCTCGCTAATTTTACTTACATACGAACCGTGTTTGTTTTTCTTGATGATTGATCCGTCAATTAAAACTTTCATTGGATTTTAGAAAAATAGGTAAACATTTTGTTTATTTATAAATATATATATATATATATATATATAAGATTCCATTGAGTACACAATATAAGGGAGAAAATATTCTTGTTCTAAAGTCGGTTACCTAGATTTTATACCTAGACCTTATTTTATCTCTCAAATAGTGATAAAAGAATGTTTAGTGCGCTTCTAAACTAGCTTACTAAGCTGTGTGTGTTTTTGTTGTAACCACAAATGTGAATGTGAAAACTTTTTATTCCTACATTTTTTTGGAAAAATTTCTGATTGCATAAACATATTTACAAGTTTTAAGCAATTCATATACAATCACATCACCACGATGGTGATGTGATTTTATATGATCATTAATATGTTAAATTTCAAATATTTTAAGTACTACCACGTACTACGTACTACTAATCTGAAACAAAATTCATTGACGTCATCCCATGAAAAAAGGTTTCTTTGTCACCGTGTACTTAATAACCAACATTAGCAACAACAAACACCGAAATCATTTAAATATTACACATTCATTAAGATATTTGTAATATTATTCCAGTTGTTACGCAACGATCGCGAACTGGACACGCAACACATTAGAATATTCAAAAAAACAAAACAACGGATTGTATGTTATTGATAAGGCCCTACTTTCCCACAAATGGGTTTTGTATGAAATATATTCATACATTTTTCAAGTGAAAATTAACGAGTTTAAGAGAGTTATGCGGATATATAGCGACCAGTTGCAGACCAGATATGAAAATATTTCAGACTGCACGACTACAAATTAACTATTTCTCTAGTTTTATGGATAGATAAACTACTAATGGACATAGCGTACAAATGTGCTAACTTGTAAGTAAGCACTTCATTTGTAAAATAAAGCAAACATAACCTAGTCAGTGGTATTGTGTGTAGTTCTTGAGGATTTTGAACATAAGTCTTACTAATTGACGCAATCGTTAGGAATTACATATCAACTATGTAGCATTGTCTAGATACTGGCTGTCTATTACATACATACCTTAGAATTGCCTGACTTTTTAGTCATATGTATTTATTAGTTTGTACATAAGTACAGTTATGAATGAAAAAAATGACATTTAATTTCTTCGACGATACAAATATCGCAATGGCGAACTAAAAAATCACAGAAAAAAATGTTTTAACCTGTTTTTACGTTATAAATTACAATACATCTAAATAATCACAATCACCTGGAAGTAACCATTATTTTTTAACTTTAAATAAAAATCATTGTAACTTTAAGTATGATAAATAAAATACACGACAAATAGGAAACATAGTACACGTACCAGAAAATTTTGGATTAGAAATGTTCTTGAACATTTTGAAATACGAATAACTAAAATATCTAATTAAATATCTAGATGACAGAAATAATCAAAACAAGCAAGGCATGCCTTATGTGCTGTAATTACTAAAATATAATCTTTATTTTAAATTTTACAATTCTAAAACGGAACGCTAAATATATTATTATATTAAAGTCTATAATTCTAAAACTTACGAAAGGCTCGTAGCTATATGACGGCAGAGATATGACCACGAAGGGTGATTCTTCCTCGCTGTCTAGCATTGAGGTATCAGCAGCCTGTAGCCACCGATACCGGCTAGGGCGCCACACTTTCGTAACTTTATTAACTCCTTAATAATAAACGCAGTGGTATCGAGGCTTTCACTTATAAGTTCATATGATTTTAATATTCTCGCTCACAAGCAAATTAATTTAGTTTTATTAAATGAACATCTAGGTATTCTGAAATTCTTGTGAGACGATGTAATAAAACCCTTCATGTTTTCATGAAACCGTTACATGAAAATAGTTAATCATTAAATTGTCGAAAGACTAATACTCTTAAGTGGACTTGACTTTTTTAAGACATCAAATGATTTGGTGTACTTTATAGTTTTATTTACGTGTTTTGGAACACTAATTTTATCAAATGGTTGTAAATGTAAATGGTTATTACGGTAGAAATATAAAATTAAGAATGAATTTTCATTAATTTCTTATTTCATAATAATTTTCACTGACTACAAGTCTATGTAAGAACGACGTGCACTGAAATTATAATCAATTGTCCACTTTACAGTCTACTTCAATGGAGTCAAAGGCTTTGGAAATGTCATTAGCGTTCAGCAACTCGAGTCAAGTTCAAGTACCTAATAGCTTGAGTACTCTTCGTGTTATTATGCAGTGAATTTGCATTCTGTGATAACAGTTACATTACGGTGACGTCTGTCCGCTCGGACCGGCATACATTTGCATAAACTTACATATACCAGCAGATATAGGAATGGTACGGCGAGAATTATTTGTTTTTTTTTGCCTTTTGAAGCAAATAAGGTATTGAACTGGTATTTTTTAAACATTTGATTAATTTTAATTGAGGTTCATTCTAGCTACACTTTTGGTTTATGTTGGCAGGCCCGTCTGTTCATTACATTATTTCTGTTTTTTCTACTTTAAAAGATTTTCGACTTTAAAAAAGAAGAATGATTTTTAATTCGACTGCTTTTTGTCTTGTTACGCAATATCTTTGCCATTTTTGAACCGTCATTAATAACTCTGTTCTTTTTTGAACTGATTAATTTGAAGAAAATATTAAGTACGGTAACAGTTTTTTATGATAATTGTTTCTTTGTTTATCTTCATCTATCTACTTTAAGACCAATTTATCTGCAAGTTTCTAATATAATACAATCTGCAGAGTTCATATAGTTATTTTTAATGAATCCCAGGTTATCACAAATAACCTAGGATTAATTATCCGTGAGTTTATGGATTAGAAACACGAAGTGTCACCACCCCTATTCATCCCGAGGATGTTGTAAGAGTCGACGAAGGGAGCAAACTACGCAGAACAACAGCACTGCAAAGAGAAGAAAGACTTGACACAAACTCTATACCAATCCGTCTGGCCAGCATGATATAGTAGGCCAAAATCTCCTTTCTTAATTAATAAAGGCTGTTGATGTGATATCATATACCACAATTACTCACATACTACAACGTAGCACTACAGTAATATTAGAAAAGAAAAAAACAACCACAACTAGTACTTCACTTAAAAATAAAATAAAAACATTTGAATAATATGGAACTTAATACGCCAGTTATTAAAAATACAATTAAAAGTAGAAACAACACAAGTCTTTAAACGCAAATGCACTCCATAAATATTATTATGAGATTTTTTTAACTGTTCCACGGCAGCGCTAAGCAGTTGGTTTGTCACCAAGATTGAACTGTGCACACGCTATGCCCTTTATGACGCCGCACACTGTAATTTTATCGAGATCTGGCAGAACTTAATTCAATCGTGCGTGAATATGTTAATATTAGATGTTATTTCGTTTTTCTAAATTAATTAATAAATGAATGAAATAAATAAATAACAAAAACAAATTGTTTCTTTAAAAAAAAAAAATTGAAACTTTGTTCTAAAGTTTTTTTTAGTTTGTAACTAGGTAAGTACCTACTAAATATTCGGTAATATATTTTACACATTCTTAAAGACTAAAAAAATAATTAGCAATACCTCCTATTCATCTTCCTCCGTTGAGGAAGTTTCTTCTCTCATGTTCGGTGCCTTCAGCAGTGCGATTGTTTCAGAAGGAAGAGAATGGCGTTTTCTATTTTGCACTGTTGATTTGGAAGATAGAAGTGGATCCGAAACGATGAGGAATCGGTTAAGTACATCTCGATTGGTGTTTATTCTGCTCATTTTTCTGCTGAAATACTCGCGATTTCTCCGATATTCTTTGTTGTTTGCTTCTTGAGCTTCTTCTGCTAATTGGCCCAAAGGTAAAACGCATGTTTCAATTATTTCTTTTGAGTGGTCAAGGATTTTGTGTATGCTGCAAGGCATGTAGTACCAGGAATAATGTACTAAATACAGTTTTTTTGTCTCTTTGGCATATGTCTTGAACTTTTCAGGATCTATTTCTAATTCGCATGAAAGTGCCTCCAAGATAACGTGGAAACGTTTAATTAAATCCAGATTGATCCCAGTTATGTCTGCTGTCAGCTTCGAATTTCGAAAAAATCTACGTGCGGTATTACCGTCATTGGTATTACCAGCAGACTGTTTCGGCATATCCACTAGTAAACCCATTTCAGCGAAGAAGCGTTCCTGTATATGTTTCTTTCTGGAAGCCACCGATTCTTTATCTTCTTTGGTTCTGGCCTGCCATGTTTTTATATCGCTTTTATATGCAATGTGTAGAAGACATTCATATGCACGTATCCATGAGTGCAAAGGAGATATTCCGAATGAATACATGTCTTCATTTGCTGCATCAGTGGTATCTGTGTTCATCTTCTTTGGCGTTTTTCCACAGATGTAACACTTTTGAGTCGAATCGTACTGTGATAAGGTACTACATATTTTCCCATCGACCATGGTAAATACCAAGTCATGGCTGCAAATGAGATTTATGCCATGTATAGTTATTTGACTTGGAACTAATTTGGAAATTTGAGTTTTTATTATGTTCACCTCTGATTTGATAACTTCTTTGGTTTCCTTTTTATAAGAAAAACGTATCATCCTACAGAATCTTGTAGAATTCGGTCGAGGATTTTGCCAAATAATGTTATTCGAGTCTTCTTGAATGAGACGTAAAGGAACTAATGAAACAGAAAACATATGTTCATCACTGTATTCCGAACCTTCCCCTGAAATCCTTTGTTTATAGCGACTTTGTGCTGAACTCCCATCGCATCCCCATTTCGATATAAGACGCAATTTTTTACTACATTCAGAAGTACAATGCTGCTCAATGACATCTTGCTGTACTTCACATATTCTTTGTGAAGTCAGATTTAGTAGTGCTTGCAGTTTTATCTCCGCATATGTGTCTGTAACTTCGATACTATCTCCGGGTGGGTAGCACTTGGTTTTAGCCTCTTGTACTAAATAATATGCCGGGTATAGATTAGAGTTTACAGCTTTTGCTCCTTTTCGCAAAATTTTATATTGTTCGACGCTTAATTTTGCATCAACAAGGATACCTAAAGCAGCTTCCGGGGAGAGTTTTGGTTCAGGTTTCGTGAATGCAGCTCTTGCCTTCTTTATTTTCGTAGCACGTGAAGGAGAAGCAAGAGATATTTCTTTCACAATATTAGCTGCATCTCTTTTGCCTGAGGAAACAAGTTTCATTTGTGTTGCAAGTGTCAATTCTTCTTGAGATTTCGACGTAACTAACTCTTTTAATTTCCTTTTTTTAACTTTTAAGTGACAGATTTCAAATGGTCTCTCGGGCCGCCCACTATGCCGGGTTGGTGGAGTTGTAGATCCGCTGCAAGAGGGCACCATAGATAGAAATTCAGATGGGAGCAACACCTCTTCTTCTAACCAATCAGCATTCTCTGCCAAGAATCTTATTTTGTTTCGCTTATATTTTTCCCATTTATATTGTATTCTTGCGGTGAGACTACTTATTAACATTTGAAGTGATCTTGGAGGTTTATTACATTCTTCTATGTCAAATTTTTTTAGAATTTTTTCAATTATAAGGTTATTTCGACCTTTTCTGCCTACTTTTAACCATATATCAAAAATATCCCTTCTTTTCATTGTACATTTATCTGATGGAAAAAAAAATGTATGAGCGGGGCAAAAAGGAGCAAGAGATTTCAACTAAATTTCAAAGGATATTAACCGTAGAATGCTATAAGAGTGATTTCCCGGTGTATACACTTGCATACATTTTTAAAAGTCAACACTAACACAAAAAATAAAATATTTTTCAAGGACTACAGCAAAAACGTAATTTACTAAAGTTATTTTAATATTACAAGGTTCAAACCTACCTCAATGTATGCTCGATGATGTAACAATCAATAAAAATTACCACTTAATAGTACTTTAAGTGACAAGAACAGACCTGTTCGCATTCAGCAGTAAATCAGAACTAAACAACGAGCACGTGCTAGCACGCGTAAGCTATGTTTCGGGACTTCCCCTGCGTTATATGGTGTTGCCAACTTATTAATTTTATTAAATATAGGTTATTTAGTTATACACCTGTGTGAAAAAGGTAGTTTTATTAATATTTAGAAGAGTATTATTTTTAAGTTAAGTTCTGCTAGATCTCGATAATAATACAGTGTGCGCCGTAAGCAAACGTTATACCTACTTATAGCTATTAGTATATGTATATTATTTACGTTAGCGTGATCTCGATATTTAATAACTTACTCATTATTACTTATGTTATTATAAATTACGTGGTTCTATAAACTGAAACGTGATTATGCTTTAGTCTAGATTGTTACTTATAACAAAATATACTTATCTAATACCTTTAAACGAGCAAATCTTGTATATATATATGTATATAATCTGAATCTCGGAAAAAGCTCCAATAATTATCATAAAATTTAGTGTGCAGGAGGTTTCAGGGGCGATTAATCAATCTAGCTAGGTTTCATTTTTAGAAAATTTACAAAAAAAAAAAATGATGTTTTTGTGTTTATAAATGGAAATCATTTTTTTACAATAAATATAAATACTTTAACAGATTATAAATAGGGTTAATGATTAAATTAATTAAAAACCAAAAATATGC